CCGGCGCAGGCCAGTGACCCAGCGCCGCCGCGCCGACTCACTTTCTCCGGAATTCGGAGGCGCGCGGGCGCGCGCCGGCCACCTCCCGGAGCTGGTGACCCACATCGCGGGGCTCCATCTGGCCACCATGTGGGTCACCAGAGCCACCGACGACCACGCAGCCCGCCCGCCGGCCATACAGCGCCGCATTTGCATCCGCCGCGCCGCGAACGGGTCGAGAGCAGTACCGACGCCGGTTCAGCGCGGAAATGTTGGAACGGTAGAACAGCGGCGTGGATATTGTTAGGAGCGATGCACGGCGGCACTGGGTACAGGAGTGGGATGGTGCGACAACATCCGGGGAGCTTAGATCCTGGACAGGAATGAAATTGTATGCACACCGCGCAGGATATTGCACTGATAGTCCTATATCAACGTCACATTAAGCCGAAGTTATGAGCGCACTACACTGCACACTGCGTAGAAATACGCGAAATGCAGGTTATCTGCCGTATTCAAAGACATTTCTATATTGCTCGGGATAGACGGTATCAAAATGTAATATTCTTTAGTAAAGTCAAAATGTGCGAATGAGACGTAGAAAGACGATGGTGAAGATCTGTTGACAATAAAGAAAGGAAACGGTAAATGATCCTGAGTAACTGTTCGACTATCTAAACATACACTTATCATAGTCATCGAGGGTTGAATATAAGCAAACGTGATTTATGTCGCGATAGGCTAAATTCCCATCGTGCCTCTCACATCGTTCACAACGGTGTTAGGTGCCAATGAGAAAATGCAGTCTCCTAAACGTATTACCTGTCTGTTTTTGTAATGTGACGTGCTCTGCTTTCTTCACGTATTTTGAACAATTGTTCAAGGCATTTCACTCCATAAGCCTGAAAATATTCTGTGAATCCACACTTCCTTTCGTAACGTTTTGACCGCGCATCAGGACTGCGACTCGCCACAAGTCCGCAACGCTGCACGTGGCAGTTAGTTCATATCGGCAGCGGTGGACAGCCGACAATTCAAATTGTGCCGAGTTGGGGTAGCACGAGACTTCCCAATTCCACGCCGGCTGCGCCGGCTTGGCTTTGGAGCCGCACCAGACGGCGGAGGTCAAGGTCACCGCTAGGGCGGCGGCGGATTTGCTGCGTCCGTGCAACCCCAACTCGGCATATTTCTCCACCCCTGCATAGTGCATATCGGACGGTCTCATGACTCATGAATTCAGGCACGTAGCTAGGATTTGGCCAAGGGAGGGGCGGAGGAGTCCCGGGGGCCTCCTTTCTACAGAGGGCCTCCTCCCTAAAGGGGCCTCCTTTCTACAGAGGGCCTCATGCCTACATAATTACATACAACATAATGCATTCACTTTTGTTCAGCTTTCATATGGCCAGCGCACTGGTATGTTTCTTACCGCTGCAGCGGTAAGAAACATACGCATATCACAAGTCACCGAGTGGCATGGTAACTGGCAAAAAAAAAAACTCGGGCGGCGGCGGCCGGACCGCAGCAGGAGGGGGAGGATCTGCGAGGAATGGGTGGATACTGGATGACGGTCAGAGTAACACTTGGTGTATTAGCATATATCGTTCAAGCGCTTAACCGTATTCCGGGCAGGCTCTGAAAGACTCTGAATCAGGCGGGGGCCTTTTTGGTCCCCGTCAGAACTCGAAAAGCACAAACCGTAGCGACAAACTGTGATAGTATTGTGTAACCAGGTGGGGCGCCACCTGGTGGGATACAGTGCGCCATCTGTACGTGACCGTGGCAACTACCCTGTGACCTGTTGGCGGCCAATACAGTATGAATCGAGACGTCGTACCGATTGTGTCAGTGGTGGCAGCGGTCCGAAATGCCTAGTGAGGCTGGAGGAGCAGGCAGGGCGGTGGCCCTCAGCAAGACGTTTGGGACGGAGGTTACCCCAGCGGCATGGCGGGACTTTAAGGACCACTTCCTGTTGGTGAAGGCAGCTAACGTTGCCAGAGGCGTCGCTATCTGGCAGGATGCGTCGTATCGCAGTCTGGAGCTTCGGATGTGCCTTGTCGGGGCACCTGCTGAGTTCATCCGTGAGGAGGTCGCGCAGTCGGCATCGTGGGTGACGAACGACGCCGAGATCCTCACCAAGCTGGAAGCGAGGTACGTCACCGTCGAAGCCATCGAGGTGAGGATCATTCGTTTTGAGGAAGCGTTCCAGGGAGGGGATGAAACGTTGACCGACTTCCTCACGCGGTTGCAGCGCTTGGCAGGGGACGCCTTCGCAAGTGAACCGGCGGATGTAAAAAGGAAAAGGGTCGTTTGGAGGTTCCTGGACGGGCTGAAGGATAGGGATATTCGCGAGCATATTATCCGCGAGCGCTGGATGAAGGACGAGTCTCACGCTAAGGAGTATGATGACATTTTAAAAATCGCAGAAACGGCGCGCACGGCGAAACAAGCAGCCTCGGCGACCGGCAGCCGGCACCAGCCGGCAGCAGCGTTCGCCGCACCAGCTCAGCAGGAGACGGTCGCAGTGACGTCATTCCTCCCAGCTGGACGTGGCCAGCGCTGGTCGGGTCGCCGGTCAGTGACCCCGGCGCGCCCCCGCCCCTCCCCAGCGATGGGGTCGGCTCACCGGCCCGTGACCGGTCAAGGTCACGCGGGCGGCTCCCAGCGGGGAGGGGGTGGAGGAGGAGGGCGCCCTGTCGGCAGGTGCTACTACTGCGATGTTGCTCACCCAGGTGGATGGTTCAACTGCCAGCGCCGTCTTCAAGAGAATCCAGCGTGGTCACCACGAAGAGTGAGTATGGCACAGCAGCAGGGCGCAGCAGCACCGGTTGTCACAGGCGAGTTGACTGATCATACGCATTTTCTGTGAGGGGCCCCCCGTCAATCCGTACCCCGGAGGGCCCCGGTGAACCAGAAAAGCCTACTGTGGAGCGCTGGTCACGTGATATCCCGCCAGTGACGTATGATTTTTCCAGTTGTAACGCGGGCACCCATGTTGAGTTGCAAACGATGACGGCCAGTTTGTCACACCAGTTGATGAAGACCGCACCGTATGTGACTGTGGAGTGGGACGACGGGACCCAAAGGCGTGCAATGGTCGACACAGGCGCTGACTGGTCTCTCGTTTCAGACGAGGAACTAACCCCCCGTGAGAAGTTCGCCCTTCGTCCCTCCAGTGTCCGTGGGAGAGGGGTGAGTTGTGAAGAAATTCCCATACTGGGGGAAGTGTTTCGCACTCTCAAGATAGGCGATGTCAGTGTTCCCGATCAGCGTTTTGTTGTTGTTCGTGGACTGATCGTGCCAGCTATCCTTGGCATTGACTTCTGGTCACGTCTTGGCAGCCTGAAGCTGGACCTGCAGCGGCGACGCCTGGCGCTGGAAGCATGGGGAGTGGAGCTGGAACTGTTCAGCACGGCTCAGCAGCAGCGGGACGCCGGGCATACGGACCTGAAGCTACGGCGTGACATCACAGTCCCAGCGGGTACAGAAGCCCTCGTCCCAGTCCAGAGGAGCACGCTGCAGCACGGTGAGGAGTATCTTGTTGAGCCTGTGGGATCAGAGGAGTCGCCAGTCAGTGCTTCCTACTGTATCGTTAAGGCTTCTGATGATGACACGTTGTGGATTAAAGTGGCGAATGTCGGCGCTACTGATGAAGTGCTAAGGAGAGGTTACGTAATCGCTCATGCTTCAGCTGATGTGTCTGTGGAAGTGACGTCACAGCCCCGTGATGACTCTCGTCTGAAGGGAAGTTCGTTTGAAGTTGGAGCTGAACTGAATGATGTCCAGAAATCTGAGCTTGTTGACCTCCTTGCAGAATACGGTGATGTATTCTACTCCGGTGGAGAGCTACCAGTCGTCCGAGTGAACGTGGAACACCGGATCAACATCACCCCAGGGACGCGACCGGAGACCTCCCGACCCAGGCGCCTATCTCCACGACTGGAGGAAGAAGTTCGTCAGGAACTGAACCAGCTGGAGAGGATGGGGGTGATCAGGGAGTCGCATAGCCCGTGGGCAGCGCCGATTGTATGCGCCCGGCGCAAGGACGGTCGGCTTCGACTTGCGATTGACTACCGCAGAGTGAATGCCAAGTCGGCAGCCGCAACCCTCCACCCCATCCCACTGATGGAGGACTTGGTGGATCGTCTGGCCAACGCGAGATACTTCTCTGTCCTCGACGCCAAGAGTGGCTACCACCAGCTGCCTCTTCACCCACCAGATAGTGAAGTGACAGCCTTCGTAGTGCCCTGGGGACATTACGAGTGGGCGGACAGGACGCCGTTCGGTCTTCACGGCGCGGGCTTCTCGTTTCAACGCATGATGTCAGCCATCCTGGGGGAGACGAACTTCACGGAAGCGATCTGTTACCTGGATGACGTCCTGGTGTGGTCGGAGACCTGGGAACAGCACCTGCAACGTCTGCGCTCGGTGTTGGAAAAAATTCGCCAGTCTGGTCTCGCCCTGTCTCCTGAAAAATGCCAGTTTGGGAAGCGCACCGTCGAGTATCTCGGAACCGTCATTTGCAACGGCCGCGTCAGCATGAGTGCAGCTCGAGTGCAGCAGCTCCGGGATCTCCCTCCTCCTCGAGACGTGCACGAGCTGCGCCGCGCCCTGGGGTCGTTTGCGTACGTCCAGCGCTGGATCCCTGGCGTGGCAGAGACGGCACGTCCCCTCTATGAAGCACTGGACAAGGACGGCAAGAAAACGCTGAAGTGGACGGAAGAGATGACGTCATCTTTCACCAAACTGAAACAGCAAGTATCGGAAGCAGTCGCCCTCTACTTGCCTGACTTCAAGAAGCCGTTTGTGCTGGTAACTGACGCAAGTGACTCCGGAACAGGGGCGATGCTGGCTAACAGAGATGGCCAGGATCTGAAGCCACTGGGATTTTTTCATCACGCGCTTTCCGAACACGAGCGACGATATAGCACGACGGAGAAGGAACTTTTGGCGGTAGTGCTCGCTGTGAAACGGTTCCGGATATATTTATCGCATGGTCCGTTCTCGCTCATCACGGACCATCGTGCGCTTCGCTGGTTGAACTCGCTCGACGCTGGCGACGAACGGGGCCGGCGTGGACGGTGGATCGATTTCTTGCAGCAGTTTCAAATCACCCCGGTTCACAAGGCTGGCAAGCACCCCGATATGACTATCGCCGACTACCTATCCAGAGTGGGCCCCAACGGTGACCTCGTGGCTTGTGTGACAGCAGGCACTCGACAGCTGGAGCCGGATCTGTCGACCACCGTCTTCACCATCGAGCAGCTCCGGGACGAGCAGCGGATGGACCCGCAGATCTCACCGGTACGCGCAGCCCTGCTCAGCGAACAAGACCTGTCAAGTAAGTCACCTGAGGCCGCCCGTACGCTTTACCGTTTTAGGCGTCATTTGGTCATTGGCAATGACGGCCTGCTGCGCTATCTGTTTAACGGTGGGCGCGCCCAGCTGCCAGTTATCCCCAGAGCTATGAGGGCTGAAGCGTTGCGCCTTGTGCATGATGCGCCTCTGAGTGGACATATGGGGCGGGATCGGACTTGGAAACGTGCCCGTAATTCATTCTGGTGGCCTAACATGAGACAGGACTTGTCGAATTATGTGAATGGCTGTGAAATGTGTGGACAGAATAAGCCGCCGCAAACACCTGGTCGTGCGCCCATACAGCGCACCACCTTCCCGAGCAGAACACTGGCAAAACTTCAAGTCGATTTCGCAGGCCCGTTCCCCAAGACCGCAGCACACCCGTACCGCTATGTCTTTCAGATCCAGGACATCCTCAGCCGTTACCTGATGCTGCTGCCAGCTGAGGACTGTACGGCTGAGACGGCTGCCCGTTTGCTGTTTGACCATTGGATATGCATTTTTGACGTCCCATATGAAATATCTTCAGACAGAGGACCGCACTTTACGGCAGAGACCTTCCGTTCTCTATGTCGGCGGCTGGGAATTCGGCACACACTGGGCACGCCTCTCCACCCACAGGGGCAGGGCCAAGTGGAGCGTCAGAATCAGCTCGTCAGGAATCTGCGCTGCATGTGTTCCAATGATGTGCGTCTGTGGCCATCCAAGCTTCCTCAGTTGCAGTTCAGTCATAACACCGCCGTCAATGCTTCCACAGGCTTCTCTCCGTTCGAGCTGCTCTTCGCACGGTCGGCGCGACGTCCCGAGACCTGCATCAGCGACCCACCTGCCGCCTCCGAGACTGAGCCAGTCACGTCTGGCCACACTCCGGCGGAGGAGGTAACGCAGAGGCGACAGCTGCTCGACCAACTGCAGCGAGATGCTCAAGTAGGTGTCGAACGGGCGCAACTGAAGCGGGTGGAGGAGAGTGTCGCGAGGGCCAGGGGTCAGCCATTTGAGGTTGGAGACTATGTTCGGCTGCGGTTGACGCCGGCAGAGAGGGGAAGGAAAGGGGGAAAAATGTCGCCTGCTTTGTCATCATTGTACAGGGTCATTGAAGTGTTGGGCGGTGGTTGGTCTTACCGTCTTCTCAAAGTGCAAGATAGCACCAAGGCGAGAGTCGAGAAAGTTAGGCATTTCAATGACCTGGTGCGTTCCGCAGCTGAACCTGAGGGAGCCGAGGCGTACCGACCGGTAGTCTACGTCGACGACGACGACGCGGAGTCGGACGACAGCGCGAGCCGCAGCTCCTCCAGTGACGGCGAGGCCGCTGGAGAACCAGACGGTCGTCCTCGCAGGCATCGCGAGCCGCCGGAGCTGCTAGTCGTGGAACCCTGGCGAAAGACTTACCGTGTCGAGAAAATAAGGAGGGGAGTGTGATAGTATTGTGTAACCAGGTGGGGCGCCACCTGGTGGGATACAGTGCGCCATCTGTACGTGACCGTGGCAACTACCCTGTGACCTGTTGGCGGCCAATACAGTATGAATCGAGACGTCGTACCGATTGTGTCAAAACGGCAACGGCGTTTGATAATTCGTTGAACGACTTACAACTTTTGTAAAGAACTTTTTTGGGTCAGGTCAATATTGAGGTCGCCAAATGTCATAACAAATAACATGGTTTATAATGACCTACATAGATAGGTCAACTTCAAATTCTGACCTAGGAAGGTCACGCTGGGTACCAATCGACGCGTTATGACCAGGCCAACAGTTTGGTACACTAATAACTATTTAGCCCCATCATGTCGTAATTTATTGGCTAAAAACTGTTGATGACCTCACCTCACCTCAGATGATCCTTCCCGGTGCCCCTGTCAGTAACTGCCACCTGGGTGCTTGCAGATCAGATAATCTGACGTAATTCAGAAAGAATTGGGTGGTTTTGACTCGTTTTCTCGAAGCAGGACACAGTGCATTATATTTTCCAATAGGCTTGTCACGATTCTGACCTGACTGACGTCTGCAAGGTTGAAACTATACGGTTATAAATTATTTCTGTGTGAATGATGCCACGTTTAATTGCGGTAAGTAAAACATGGTTTCGTTAGTAAATTTTCCTATAGGTCCAGGTGGTTTGCTTTGCTTCATTTACGCCGTATAGATGAAACAAACAATCGATGGATATGTATTAATTTCCCGGTCAAATAAATCATTATGAGTTGTGCGAAGCATGGCTATGGGAATATCACCACGATCTGATAAATAGTTTGGGTAATTGCATCCATCGTAAAAATACCGACACAGCCACAGGCCTATATTACAGAAATGGGCTGCTGTGTTTATGCATTAACCCGCGCCCTGCTAGGGGGTGTTTAAACACCCCCTGCAGTTTTCCGTGAATATCTCAAAAACGGCGGCGCGGCACACTTTATCCTACATCATTTCTACATATGTTGTGAAAATTTCAGACCCTGGTCACTTAAGGTCAGGTCTGAGGTCACCAGGTCAGGTCAAATGACCTCACTACATAAAAAGTTTCAATGTCTGCCAAAGCTACACGGAGTGACCAAACGCTTTGAAATCTTCAGAGATGCAAATGCACAAGAGCCACAAAATGCACAAAATGTAGGTATGTCTTGGAATTTTGATATCGATGACATAGGGTCAGGTCAATTTTGCGACCTAAAATTGAAAGTCGCCTTTTTAGACGGAAGTCATTATAAACACTCTAAGACACTGAATTACTAGTATCTTTGACACACTGAACATGAAAATGGCACCCGTGACCCCTTTTTATAACCCTGAGGTCATCTCATGTCACCAATGGTATCTGACTGTTTTTCGCGAATAACTTTTGATAGAAGCATGCTAGAGCGATGAAAACACCTTAGTTGTGTTTGGCTCAACGATACAAATGGACTGATATGGAACTTAGCCCTTATCGGTCAGGTCATGACCTTGACCTGAGGCCAAATTTTCAAGTTGACCTTTCAAGGTCAATTGATAGTTCATTCCACACGTCTTGACGAGAGGAACACGATGCTGGTAAAGGGAAGTTCGTGTAAATTTTTAAACAAAAGCTATTGCCGAAAACTGGTTTCCGAAAATATCGGCTATTTTGGCAGTTTTTGCCCACTGCATGTAAAACCGTTGACGGCAAAACCGTTGACGGCACCCGGCATGATTTCTCTGAGCGCATTTATACAACTAATTTGTCTACATATGATAGGGCCTTCTGTTTACAGAGGACCTCCTCCTTACAGAGCCCCTGTCCCTTCCTACAGTGGGCGGCGACGCGGTTGGAAGTCTTTTCTGTACAGTTTCCTGAGTTCTGTTCTCACTATAGTGAGAACTGAGAACTCTCTATAGAGAGTAGCAGAGACCAGAAGCCAGAAGGTAATTTGCTTACAGTGGGCCTCCACTCTATGTACTTAATATACGACGCTGTCTTTGACTACCGAGTACCAGGGGCCTCCTGCCCACAGAGGGCCTCTTATCTACAGAGGGCTTCCTCTCTACAGATTGCCTCTTATCTACAGAGGGCCTCCTCTCTGCTGAGGGTGTCTTTCTCTCCAAGTCCAGAGGGCCTCGTTTACAGAGGGCATCCTCTCTACAGAGGGCCTCCTCTCTAGTCTCTACAAGGACCTCCTCTCTACAGAGAGCTTCCTATATCTATATAGGGCTTCCTCTCTTCAAAGAGTCTCGTCTCTATACAGGACCTCCTCTATACAGAGGACCTCATCTCTGCAAAGGGCCTCCTCTCTTCAGAGGGCCTTCAGTCTACAGAGGGCCTCCTACCTACAGAGAACCTCCTTTCTACTGAGGGAGTCCTCCTCTACAGAGGGCCTCCTCTCTTCAGACGATCTCCTCTCTACACAGGGCCTCCTCTCTTCAAAGGGCCTTCTGATTTCAGGCGGTTTCCTCTTTACAGAGGGCCTGCTCTCTACAGAGGGCCTCCTTTTTACAGAGGGCCTCTTTTTTACAGAGGGCCTCCTTTTTGCAGAGGGCCTCCTCTCTACAGGGGGTCTCCTCTCTAAGGGGGCCTCCTCTCTAAGGGGGCCTCCTCTCTACAGAGGGCCTCCTACCCACAGAGGGCCTCCTCTCTACTGAGGAGTCAGAGGGGCCCTAGCGGTCAGACACAGACACTACTACTAGTGGTTATTCACAGGAGATGAGAAGGACCCTAGCTGTCACTTGTCAGGCTGGTCAGAGAGCCCTGATTGTTCTGACGTCATTTTTTAGATTCCCGCGTGAATTTCGTTCGCCTCCGACGTGATTTTGGCCTTCGGCCCACGTTGGATTCAGGCCGAAAGGATTCAGGCCAACGTGGGCCTTCGGCCCACGTTGGCCTGAATCCTTTCGGGGGGCCTCCTGAAAGCCCCAAGGGAGGGGCGGGCGCCCCCTCCGCCCCCCCCCTTGGCTACGTCCCTGCTCATGATCAACTAGGAAGGTCCAGGACCCGGATGCAAGCCCCTTCAATTGCACCTACACTATGTCAGCATGCATTCATACAATATCATCCCCATTTTTACCCAGAATCACTACGTTTCCATGACACGTCTAAATCTAAAAACACGTCTAATTAACCCGGCCGGGCCCGGGGGGTAATCCCAACCACCGCAGCCCGGGGGGGGGGCGTTTTTCGCCCCCCCTGTCTAACTCCGTAAATAAGGGAGCTACGGAAACAAAAGCGATACCAAACGAAAGGTCCTTACGAGACAATTCTAATACACCTAAAATTTTTGACCTCAGGTCAATTTTCAAGGTCAGAGGTCAAGGTCAAAGGCCAAAACCGGCACATGTGTAGTGATCTCAAAGTAAGCCTTCTAGAGGACGGCAGGCTGCATCAAACCGGCAAAATTGGGTGTCAAACGAAAGAAGAGAATCTGAGGATTCTGAAAATGTGCTCCAAATCAAAGGTCAAGGTCAAGGTCACGCTCAAAATTAACCTCAAACTTGGCACTTTTTCACACATCTTGCGTGCTAACTTCCAAGATGTTTTGAAATGTTTTGAGGCTTATCAGTTCCCTATTTGTGATTCATCTTACGATACAAGGCTGCTCAAAGGTCAAGGTCACAGAAGAGTATCCCTGCTAGAGGCTATTTCACTGATTCAAGTTAGTAATAATAAATAAGACAATTTTGCCATCTGGAAGCTCTAAATGAAGGCCTAGAGGAAAATAGATGCCAGATTCGTGATCAGCGGGTACAAATCCATCATAAACGACCTTTCATGTGTCAAGGTCAACCAGAGGTCATTCGAGGTCACATGAGGTCAACATGAAACTTGACCTTTTCCGAACAAAATATATATCATTCGACGCGGCTTGACAAGGCGAATGCGATGGTACCACTGCCGTAGCTCTAGGACCATTTTTGTCGAAGTTATTTGCGAAAAACTAAAACCACATTTCGGGGTCGTTGACCTGACCTCTGACCTCAGGTCACCAAAACTATTTTTCTATTTTTCTCTAGGTCAAACGCTATACAGCCGTGCTCGTAATTTGTCTTTATCTCTAAAACTCTATTTCTAGCAGCTATTTGAAGTTTGCGTCTGTGACGCCGATTTTTGCCGTGCAGGGGTCTAGAAAATTGGACCTTGTGACGTCATCAAGGGGGTTAGGTCCAAATTTTTTACTTCAGAAGATGTCAAATTGATGGGAGAAAAGGTACTAAAAGTTTCGCATTCCTATCCCTAAGCGTTCGGGAGTTATCGCAAATATTCGCCAGGGGGGGGCGAAAAACGCCCCCCCCCCCCGGGCCCGCGAGGGTTAAAGTTCGCGTGCGTTTTCACGTGCGTTTCGCCCCGCGCGGCATGGTCGAATGCCGCTCTTTGCAAAAACAGTGTTGGGTCTCGAAGTGTCCAATGTCGCGTATATGATGTGTCGATACGAAAGTTACATGTTGCAAATACACGCTACAATTAAAAAAGAGGGAAATTTACATAGAAAATAGATGACCAAGCATGGTGTAATAAAAAAGGCATTCTTAAAATGCTTGCACAGAAACAGCTTCAGCTCTTGGTTTATTACTTGATTATAATGTGCGGCGGTTTAACTCGCATCCATCTCGAGCCCCCTTAGGGATGCTCAGAAGAAAAATTGAATATAAACGCTATTATAGCAAAAGAAAGGCAGCGTAAGCAAGAATCGTTCTAGCATACAGGGAAACATAAGCAAGCCATGCAAAACGATCTACGCACAGCTCTCAGAACCACTGGTAAACGGTCTCAGTCAGACATCAGTTTGTCCTCGGTACACGTAAGTAACCAGACTCATAGCGATAGGTGTCAGTTAACATGTCCTGGGCCCCGACATCGCGCCCTGTTGATTAAGCCCTCAACGGCAAAATCATGGTCAAAACAAGCCATTCATTACAGTTTTCCAGGGCTGACGTAACGTCGTATCTTCACCCAACCATATCTCAGTTTCGGGGCTCATCAATCATCATCCAAAAACGACTATCTACATAGCAGCAGCACTAAGCAAAAGGCGACATCTACGCTGCGCCCTGCCGCCCCTCGCGGCGCCCTCTGCCGTCGCGGCTGACGGGGCGCCGTCCTCACCGTTCGCGGTCCCTCCTCCTCACTTCCCGGCTGCAGCGGCGGCGGCGGCGGCGGCCCGGACCCCGTCCTCGCCGGCGGCCGCCCTCTCCGCCTCAAGCACGGTGGCCTCCAGCCGGGCCGGCGCGGTCAGCATCAGCATCCAGAGGGTGTCCTGCGGCGGGCGGGCGCCGCGGCGCTCCTCCCACTGGCGCAGCACGGCCTTCAGCTCGGGCTGCACGCCGCACACGGTCTGCTCGAGCCGGCCGGTGCGCGCAGCCACCGTGCTGCGCTCCAGCGCCGCCTGCAGCCGGCCGGCGGTGCGCAGCTGGCGCTGCTGGGAGGACAGCTGCTGGCGGACCCCGGCGCGCAGCTGCTCGGACTCGGAGGGGCTGGCGGCGTCCGGCAGGGCCAGGGCCGACCGCAGCTCAGCGGCCGGGCCGTCCGGGTCGGCCGACTGCGCCGCCTGGTGGGCCGTGCGCTCCATCAGACGCTGTCGGAAAAAGGAACAATCTGGTTAGATGGGAATCATGGGGATACGAACACGTAATGGAAACATTATAATCATTAAGAAAGAAAGACAAATAACCTTTTGTAATGCCAAGCAACAATACGTAGCTAAGGCGACTGTCAGTTATAGCGCACCTTCAACATAGATACAAATCGAAATAGATCTGAGCTACCATTAGAGCTCTGATAAATGCTAATGTGGACCTCAATGTAACCAGTCACGCCAGCTCCTTGACACCACCACTGTGGGACCCGGTAACACTCACCAGCCTGTGCTCCACCTGCCGGGCCCGCTCGTCGGCCTGCTGCCCGGCCTCGGCCAGCGTGTCGCCGGCGGCGGACACCGTGCCGCTCTCAGCAGCCACGGCGCGGCGCAGCCACTCCAGTCGCGCCAGCTGCTGCACGGCGGCGGCGCGCGCCTCGGCCTGCCGCTCCAGAGCCGCCTCCTGGCGCTCCACCTTCAGCGCGTGGTCGCCCACACAGGCGCGCGCCAGGATACCCTGCACGTACTTTTCGGCGGCGGCGGCCAGCGCCTGCCGCAGCTGGGCGTCCCGGTCGGCAGAGGGGGCGGCCGGCGCCGGGCGCGCCGCCACCGCCGCTCGCTGCGCCGGGTCGGAGCACAGCCGCTCCGCCAGCTGGATGGCGTCCCGGAGCCCGGCCGTCTCGGCGGCGGCCGTCTGCGCGCCCCGTTTGGCGGCCGGTAGGAGCCGCTCCAGCCGGGTGAGCTGGGCGGCCAGCCGGCGGTGCGCCGCCTCGCCGCCCAGTCGCGCCGGCCGCAGGTCCAGCAGGCTGCAGTCGGGCTCGGCGCCGCCACGCTGCGCCGAGCTGAAGGCGCGCCGGGCCAGCTCTGCCAGCCGCTCGCTGACACGCTGCTCGGTGGCCTCCACGCCGTCCAGCGGCGTCTGGCCGAGCAGCGCGCCGCGCGACTCGGTCAGCTGGCCCGTCAGCCGGCGCGCGGCGGTGGCCAGGCGCGCGCGCCCGTCGTTCAGCGCCAGCTCGTCGGCTGCCAGCCGCTGCCGGAGCCGGTGGCGCGCCGCCCGGGCCGCCGCCTGACTCTCCGTCAGCTGACTCAGCTCCATCGAGAGGCTCAGGTTCTCATTGCAGAGCTGGTCTCGCAGGCGGCTCAGTTTCTCCAGCCGGGCGCGCTGCGAGTCCAGGTCAGCAGTGAGCTGCTGTACCTCCAGCTGCAGGTCAGTCTCCTCCTCCTCCAGGGCAGCCAGTGCCTCGTCCAGCCGCGCGCCCTCGAGGACACCCTCCGACTCCTTCACCCGGCTGTAGGCGGTCCGCTCGGCGTCCGTCAGAACATTGCTGGCAGACACAGAGCGGCACAGCCACTGGAGGAAGGTGCCCGCACCGCCGCCCAGCTGCGGGGAAGGGGAGAAATTCAGTCAGTGCCATTGTTAACCTTGAACTTATCTCATGTTGATTCTTCAATGTATGTAGGTTGGATGTATCATGTTGTTATGCTGAGGCACTGCATTCCTTATACTCATATTTGTGATGAGTGTTATAACCAGGCTGGGCCTTTCAGCTGGCCTTGTAGATGCTAATTGCTATTGCACCAAATATTTGTCGGGGGTCATGTGCCATATTTTGAGCAGTGAAGACTGAAGTTATGGTGGAGGTGCGCCACAATTTTCAGCTCAATCCTACCATTATGCTGGACAAACCCAGCACAGCCTGCATCAGCATGTTTCCAAGCTTGGATCAGTAGGTACATTGCAGGTACTAAGGGTATAAAAGTACAAATTAAACACTTCAATGTATATCAAAATGGATACAGGTCAAAAGCCATTTTCCTTGTTACGCCTTACCTCAAACATCCAGTCCCAGTCCGATGGGTTGAATTTTGAGGCTTTAGGATACCCAACTTCATTCAAAATGCGCACGAAATCTGCAGAAGACATGTCTGGCGTATTCAATGAAGAAACGGAGAATATTAATACCAGGCTTTTTGTGCTTAAATCTAAAATTAAACAGTTTTACTCTCAGCTTTTCCCGTGCCTTTTGTGTTGTATTTCATGTGTTTGCGTCGTGAAGTGGCGCACAACCAATCAAATTTGCCGCTCCAATTCGGCTACCATATTTGTGCTGCCCGAATGAAGTTTTCTTTTAAACATCACTTTACCGGAAAATTGGATGATAGAATTCAGCATAGAATTCAGTGATTGGATGAAAACAAGACACAAAATAAAACATTTTAAATACTAACATCAGCATATAATTGATAAAAAAAAAACAAAAATATAGGCAACGTACAGTGAAATGAGATGTTACGGAGTGCTGCCTTGAACAAATGAGCATCCTAGCAATGCTGCTACCTGGCGGCAGACTGGCGAACTACAGCTGCGTGGCCTCGCCGGAGGCTGTGAGGCCGGCGCCGGCCCCGGTCCTCCGATCTCAGGCGCCGGCCGGCCGCCAGGTCCTTTCCATACGAGTCGGGACGGTGCACTGACGGCCGTCCTATCTCTCCCATCTGGAACGTGCGTCGTAGGCTGACACATGGTAAGTTTCCACTCGCTTGCATGCGTATGTGACTACCTGCTCTTCACCCGAGCGAGGTAGGTAAGTGCCTACTAGTGATTGCACTCCCGGTGAGAGGCACAAGTGCCTACCCGTGCAGCATTAGCGGTCTTTCACAGTTCACAGCGCGTTACCCTGGACTCTCACGCTCTGGATACCCTGCAGTCACGCTCGCCACACGGTTTACTGATCGGTCGGTCGGTCGGACAGGGGCTATTGCGTCAAACCGGCCCACACCAGTACCTGCCGGCGGTTCGTGTGGGGTGCATATACGAACTACCGGGAGCCGCTGCCGCCGCTGCCGCCGCTGCCGCCGCTCGCCGTCCATCGGTCCGAACCTGACCGATATATCAGTGGTCCCGATCGTTACCGGCGTTTTTGTGAACTGCCAAAAGCCGTGCCGTGTTGCCCGTTGGTGTCAGTGTTAGTCGGAGTCGCTGGAGTGTCAGTGTCGCACCAGTGTCACGTCGTCAGTGTCAGTGACACGTATATAGTGCAGCGCGCGGTCGCTCGGTGTGCGATCGATCGAACGGTGTGACCGACGGCCTGTGTTAGTCCGACATACTCGCTGTGTCGGTACCGACGGCTGGCGGTCCGCCCCGCTCGGGTGCGTATTGTCGAGTGGACAGACCCCACACGGTGGGTCGGGTGCGGGTCAGGTCAGAGATGAGGCCGCTGTGCCGAGCTGTGTCGTTCCTCCCGCTGCTGATGGCGGTACCGCAGCAGCAGCAGAGAAGGCCCACAGTCACTGCCGCCACCGGCTCCAAGAGCGTTCCTGTGAGTACTCGCTTCGCATGAGCATCGTTCAACACTCGCCGAATAGTGCAGGCTCGAATCCATGCTGATTGGCGTTCTTATCCTATCCAAGGTTCAGTTGTCAGCCTCGGGCCTCGTTTCATCCTTTTCACGCTTCAGGACGCTTGCTCTATCTCCTGACACATGGTGGGACCGACTTAAAACCTCTTTGTATCTAGGGAACGCTTGCTTAGACAATCATTATTAGAGAGCAAAGTAACCACTTTGTTATGTGCAACAAATGAATATTTCTAGCATTCTACCACAGCGGAGTTTGAGCTACTAGTCTTGTTAGCAGTCAGAGCAAAAATAAACATTCATGTGCCATTCAAGCATTTCCCTCCACCAGTCGCTCGAATACTAGCATGTGCTTCATAACCACATAAAAACAGCAGCTCCAATTCGTCACTACTAGCCAAGGTCGCGGCGGGCAAGGAGTACCGACTTATCCTGCCTGCCCACCTCTATCTCGACCCGGGCGCCCCGCCCACCTCTATCGATCCTCGGATAGGCCCCTGCCGCCGGCCAACTTGGCTCGGTGCCAGCGGGACAGCCGGGCCGGACCCGGGTGAGAGGTGTGGGACGGTATCGGGCTGTGTTTTGGGTCTCAGCTACCTAGGTGAGTGATAGGGGAGACTCACTGACAAGCGGGTGCTTACAAGTACAAGGTGGTTGGAATTTGTCAGTTGCTTCTCGGTGTTGGTGAATCACACTGGATTGGATTGGATTCATGTTCATCGGTGTTGGCTGTTGAATGCTTTAGCTTTGCCTGTGAGGAGCATGTGGAGCACACGTGGGCTGTTAGTGTTATCTGTTGCTCGCCGCCCGAGTGTGCACTGTGCAGCGTGCACGTGGTTGCTCGCTGCACCCGGCGGCCTGCACAATGCGTGCCGGGAAAAATAATACCTGAGGCGACAGGTTGGGATCGGCAGTATGGAAAGAAACGCACTGGTAATGCAAAGAACATCGGGTAATATCAGAAAATGGATTTGGATAATTGATATAAACACTCACAATCTGTCATTATTTTCTGTTATAGATAAGACGGAACCATGCTGGTCCGCGGACTAGTACGGTTCGGGTTGTCTTCTAATACCGGGCCCGGTTGGTCTCGTGTGTTGACAAACGTAAACAGTTCTGCCGGTTTACCGTGGCCTGGCTGTAGAACGCTCAGAACGACGGTGAGTGACCGGTGCAGTGTACTCGGTTTGGCGATTTTCGACATTTTCGGTGAGATGCACTCGCCCTGCATTAGTGCGAGATGCATACTTGGACATGAGCTTGTGTAGATGATGGAGCAGCACTGGAACCAGCGCGATATACAAATTTAAACAGCAGTCTAACTCTTCTCAGACCTAAAACTTCGCCTTTGCTAATAATGAAACAGGGTTATCAAACTAACTACCTACATCGCTCGAGAAACGAACCTTACGAATAGCTAGACTTGAATGGCTAACACAACCAGCAGATGGCGCATAGTCTGTCTAACCCATGTCAGACGAACATGGAATAACAAATCAGCTGCATGCCACACCATGCATGAACTCCTGCCCAAGCCAGATCATATCAGTCAAACAGCCTCCCTCAGGACCAATTGAAAGTCACTCTTCACTCCCCTTTCAGTGTCTCGGCCGGTGTGGCTGGTTAGTGGTTACAGAGGTTCTCCTAGTCCCCTGTGTGGTGCCACGTCCCCGTGACCGGTCCTCGTCTGACCTCCAGGGCCCTGACGCCAAAAGGATGAAGCTGAGCGACGACGAGCGCACGGAAAAGCTGGAGCCGCTGCTGAAGGCCGGCTGGAGCAAGACAGACGGACGGGACGCCATTGAGAAAAAGTTCCAGTTCAAGGACTTTAACCAGGTGAAGACAGGTTTTTATCGCTGCTCCGGGTAATAAGATATGCGAGTAGTGATGTCAGTGATAAAGTCACGAAATAAAAGGCGTGGAAGGGTGACGAGCGCAGAGCAGAGATTTTCTTTCCGAAAGACCGAGTAGCCATCAATGATAGCTCAACATAAAATAGCGACGTGAAGTCAACGACCATTTTTGAAAATGAGTCGAACCTTAGCCCCAAGGCACATCAAATCGAACGAGTTGAGTCATTCATCTTCACGACGGCTGCATACTGATTCGATTACAAAATCTAGCAAATGTTTGTTAACAGTTCATCATGCAAACGCCGCCCTCTCCCCCATCCCCACACCCCTCACATAAACCCACCACCGCTCCCTTTCTAGGCGTGGGGCTTCATGAGCCGCGTGGCCCTGAAGGCGGAGAAGATGGACCACCATCCGGAGTGGTTCAACGTCTACAACCGGGTGGACATCACACTCTCCACCCACGACTGCGGCGGCCTCAGCGGCAAGGACGTCACCCTGGCCAGCTTCATCGACTCGGTGGCAGGCTCTGGGGCACAGTAGGACGACCAAGGGCGGCGAGATGACTCCGAGCAGTGGGATGGCCAAGGGCAGCGGGATGACCCCGAGCAGTGGGATAGCCCGAGGGGCAGTGAAACGGCGAGGGACGCAGGCGACCGGTGACTTGTGAGGCACTGTAATGTGCGGGGGAGGAGGAGTGACATGCTGGAGAGCCAAGAGGACACGGAGGCCTGGTGAAAGTTACAAACGGTAAGCAGGAAGGGCGGCAAGTTGGATGCATTGACAAGAAAGTACGCTTGCCCCACGGCAGAGTGGTCAGAAAAGGACAGGGAAATAATACTCGTTTTTAGGTGGACGTCTTGTTGTTGCAATTGTGTTGACGCGTTCTGCCAAACTGGGACCAACAGCTTCATTGCAGCTATATTTTGCGAACGTTGTGTAAATAAATGTTGCAAAAGTATTTGCATGACTGGAAAAAAATAGTGATTATGTGATGATACATCACAAAAGGCACGCTAATATGGGAGCCCCTTCTGGGAGAGATACGGATAAGTATCAAACGAAATGTAGCCCTGCCACTGCAACACTTGTTAATTCCCCTGCAAGATAATATTCACAAGCTTAAAGATAAGAATCTTGGCTATCATTTTTCAAACACTTGAACAAGACGGGGCTGGGAATAACTGACAAACGCGCCATCGTGAACGCCGGGTCGGTACAGTCCACTGAGACCCGCACTTCTTGGCCACCCTCCCCCTTCTGAACTTCAAAAAAAAAAAAAACTCCATACAGTGGGACCTCACACGGGCAGGGCTGCCCTGGAATCCCGGCTGACGAGAACTCCACACTGAAGGATCACTTGGCATGGTTACAGTCTGAGCAGGCTCCGAGATCACGTGGGTTTGGAGACGATCAGTACAGCCGACGGTACCAGACCTGCGGGAGAAGAGAATACGGGTCAGAGGGGTAAGGGAGCACGACAGACGGGCCGGGCACTAAAGCGTATGTCAACACATAACGGTGATTCATTGTTTTTAACCTAGCTAAGTAAACCAGCCGTTCAAAAAATACGCACTTCTAAAAATGCACTAGCGTATGACTTATGAGAAGCCGTCGAGTCATCATAGCATAAGCGTCATTTAACTATTGCGTCTCCCCATTCCTTTATTCAAGTTACACTAGCCTGACACCGCCTTGTAACTCATTCCAAGAACACGCATGTCAAACCCCTCAGAAGAAACTGTCAAGCCTTTATCACTGAGCTAGATCGGATCGACATCCCTTTTATTTAGCTACTACAACCCTGCTGTATCATCTCCCATTGGGAATCCCCCATCCCAACCTCAGCCATCGCGATCTACGGCGCCATATATCCTAAACAGAATCGTCCCGAATCCAAAACCCTCCGAGCCTCCCCTCCATCTCACCGAGCGAGTCGAGCGGCCGCTCGTAATCCTCCGCGGTGAACACGCGCCGCGGGAAGGCGGTGCCGAGCGTGAAGGCGCCCTGGCCGTCCGTGCGGTTCATCTCGACGTAGAGTCGCACGGCGGCCAGCGCCTCTTTGGCAGCGAACTGAGAGGTGAGCGCCGCGCCGTCCGTGAGGCGGATCTGAGGGCGAGGTTAGAGCGTCAACCCGTCCAATCTGTCCAACCAATCTGTCAGGGGAGGGCGTAGGAACTGGTGAAAATCGACCCGTCCCGCATCCGTCAAACGACTCTGAGAGGGAGAGGAGGTTACAGTCAACAGTGGGTGAGAATAGAACCGTCTGTAATATTTATGTCAGAGGGGGTTAGAATGGTAGAGAATCAACCCTGTAGGATGAAACTGCGAGAGAAAGGTTAGAGCGGCAAAGGAGTCCTCGTCTGTCGGTGAGACAAATATGCAAGAAGAGTGTTTAGAGCGCAAAGTGAGTTGACCATTGTGATACCATGAATATGTAAGGGAGAAGAATATTACGATTGTACTCCTAGACCGTCTTGCGAATGCGATGTCAGAGTCGACTAGTTGACCTCACCTGTAGCCGGGTCATGGAGTACTCCTTCTTGGGAGCGGCCTCGGCTGGCTGGGCCGCTGGGGCGGCGGCGGGCGGCGCGGCAGCGGCAGAGGCGGCGGGCGCAGCGCCGTCCATGTTAAACTTCTGCCGCCGGGCCTATCGAAACGAAGACAGAGTGAAATGGTGAGATAACGAAACCGGGGCACTGTCCGCACGATTCGCACCATACAAAGGGGCACACATTCATCTGAAGAGGAACACTTTTTAGCCAGATGAATGTGACAGTAAAGCCGACAGTCGAAGATGGTACGTCCTAACCACGACACTGGGCACATCGCAGCAAAAGTTGAACTCCATTTATCAGGATCCGTATTACGCCTTTATCACAATCACATGAGCGAGAGCACGGAATCCGTTTAGCATGAAAAGTGCTTATTATTTTCCTGCTCATTTAGCCGGTATAGGTGATCGGAGAAATGACGCGACTTACGAGTTTGTCGGCCTCGATTTGTTTTTTGACACGCTCTCTGGCCAGCCGGTCCTCCATCTTTTCTCGCCGCCGTTCCTCGGCGATCTTCTTCATCTCAAGCTCTTCCATTCTGCAAAATTCGTAAATATTCACTCGCCGATAAACAGAGAAAATACACTATGTACCTACTTACAACAAATGAAAACAATAAATCAGTACACGCACTATGAAAAAAGAAATGGAAGAATTTCAGGTGAACATTTCGAGGGTTATAATATTGACAGCATATCCAGCTGCCTTTAATCATAGTTGATACTTAAATTTTTTTAGAGCTTAATTTGAATTTCGTACCGTCTCTTCGCATCAACGATTTGTTTTCCTGATTCCATTCTCCTCTTTTCCTTCTCTATTGCTTCTTTCTTTTCCTTTTCCTCTCGCTCTTTCCTCCTTTGCTTGATCTTCTCTTCCAATTCTTTCGCCTTGGCAGCCTTTTCTTCTTCAGATAGCACCCTTCTGAAAAAAGAGCGGGTAATATGCATGGCAGATCTTTTGGGAGTTGTGTAACGCCGACCATCTTCCAGCAAAAAAAAAAAAAAAAGAAAAAAAATAGACGTGGTTTAGGTTCATCTAAATTTAGTTCGAGTGTCAGGATATATGAAGGCGAAAGCCAGAGCACTCACTATACATCTTTTGTTACGCAAACCCTGACACCTACTGCACAATTACGGAAACATCACGAATCGTTGCGATAAGGTGGAAAGACGAAAGTGATGTTACTTACAGCAAAGTTAATAACATAAAGCAATTCAATAGCAATCAATAAATGGTGGCTGGAGCACCACAGCTTTTACTAGACGTAGGGCTGTAATGGACAGCGGGGTACACAGCCACTCACTGCGGCTGCTGTCCCTCTCCGGCCGCGGCCTCGGCTGCTCCCTCTCCGGCCGCGGCCTCGGCCGCCCCCTCCGGCAGCGGGTCGTCAATGTCCGGGTCCTCTGAGTGCTGCAGCAGCCTGCCATAACACAAAGAAAGCTGAGACACGGCACACGCTAAACAAATCTCAGTGCACGAGTAGACAGAGGCAGGCAAACACATCACCTGCTGACCGACGTGATCAGCGAACTCAGGTTAGACACTCATCGAATTTTGATGCACGAGTAGAGAACAGCAGGCGAATAGATCACCATATATCGGACATGATCAGCGAATTTAAATGTCGAAAGCTGTCGATTGCGCCTCGTTCTCTCAGTGATTACGAAGGGTGTTTATATTCAAAAGTGCTAATAACAGTAAGCGGAGAACATTGGTTTTGTCATTGTCAGTAACGGAGTTGTCGGTTCCGAAGCTCAGTCGGTAGAGCGTTGGACTCAGCGTGGTGAGAGCACGTGTTCCAGGTTGTAACAGTCCGACTTCGAAGCGAGACGGGCGCGTGGCGTTTATGAGCCTCCTAACAGGTATGGTTGCGGTTGGTGGCAGGCCGTAGCCAGGCGAAGTCAGTGAGGGACCGGCCGTGCGCAGCTATGTACGCACGTTAAACTTTGGACTCTAAACTCTGCCATAGAACCGGCATTGCGCGATCAGAGGGTAGAGGGCAGGGTCAACGAAACAAGCTTCGCTTAGCGGGGGCTCTGTCCTTGTGGGTAACCGGACAAAAGATCGTAAAGCAGAAGATCGTATGGCAGAAGATCGTAGGCAGTTGATCGCATGCAAAATATCGTAATGGATAAAGATCGTACGACATAATGCTCGTATGGACAAAAGATCGTATTCGCTAAAGATCGTCAAGGAAAATGATCGTATGTCAAAAAGTCGCAATGGATAAAGATCGTACGACATAATGATCGTATGGACAAAAGATCGTATTCGCTAAAGATCGTCAAGGAAAATGATCGTATGCCAAAAAGTCGTAATGGATAAAGATCGTACGACATAATGCTCGTATAGACAAAAGATCGTATTCGCTAAAGATCGTCAAGGAAAATGATCGTACGCCAAATGATCGTATGAGATAAAGATCGTACAGTCAAAATATGGTATTCACATGGCAGGCACCGTTCCGTGCTTCTATCCTCAGGATACTGAAATCCTTCTCCTCCACGCCGCAACCTACCTCCGGGCTGGACAGGCAACTTTATCTCATGCGGGCTGCTCCCTTGGAGCGGCACCGCTGCTCCCGAGGGAGCGCGTCCCGTAGCCGGGTGCAGTGAGTGGGCTTGGGGCTGGGTGGCCTGTCCTCTGGACGGGCTCAGCCCCGGCGACTCACTAGGGTGCCTGCCCAGACCAATGTCTCCCCCTATATCCTATCATCCTCCCGGCTCTGAAATGGTCTCATTTGACCAAAAGGGCCTAACACAACAAAACAAAACAAACAGACAATCACATGGCACATGGTGCAGCCCAACTCCAGCGCATACAAAGCTTATCAATTTCTATGTTCGCTTAGTAAGTGGCCGTCGTAAGCTCGACCATACATTGATGTTATTTCAGAGCTTAGATGGCTCAATGACACCTAAAAGCAACGCGTTGTATATGTGCCGAATAAATGAATGTATGTGCTGCCGTTTTCATGTACCTATTTGAAGTGAATACAACTAAACCCATGTTCCTTCCCCCCCCCCCCCCACACCGCCTGGAAGGTTAAAATGTTGCTTAAGCGGCTGAAGTAAACGGCACTTTTTCCTTCGCACTGTTACATTTTCGTGTAGAATCGTCATCGCTTTACGAGTCATCAGCAGATGTTTATCGCGTTATCACTATCGAAGTCGCAATCCTCCTAGTTATATAGGATCCTAGTTTCAATCCAATCCTAGTAATAGGAGTCATTGCTATCGAAGGCCGGTTAAAGATGTCAATTGTCCATTATTGGTAATAACCACAAACAACTTGTATGCGATCATTTCTTTTGACAAAATGCAAAATACAAGCCGTTCAAACGACAAACACCCGGCCAGTTTCCCCGATAGCCTGCCTGCATCCTAACGAAAGCTCAATGCCCGCGGCCCGCAGACCATATCATGCCACTCTGTTCGCTCTGGCAGCTTTTAGTTCTCTGCTCATACTTCCAGCCGTTATATTGAAAAGACTTCTAAAAAGACTCCTAACGAAAGCTCAATGCCCGCGGCCCGCAGACCATATCATGCCACTCTGTTCGCTCTGGCAGCTTCTAGTTCTCTGCTCATACTTCCAGCCGTTATATTGAAAAGACTTCGCTTCGCTCGCTGCGCTCGCTCGCTCGTAACAACACTATTCTATGCGATTATTTACTTTACGAACGTAACGTTACGATCTTTTGTCGAGCGATCTTTTACAACATATGATCTTTATCTTACGATCATTTTCCTACGATCTTTTTTGTACGATCCATTGCTTTACGATCTTTTGCTTACGATCCTTGGTCGTACGATCTTTTGCGACATACGATATTTATCTTACGATCATTTTCCTACGATCTTTTTCATACGATCAATTGCTTTACGATATTTTGCTTACGATCTTTTTTGTCGTACGATCTTTTACAACATACGATCTTTATCTTACGATCATTTTCGTACGATCTTTTGCATACGATCAATTGCTTTACGATCTTTTGCTTACGATCTTTTTACCGTACGATCTTTTACAACATACGATCTTTATCTTACGATCATTTTCGTACGATCTTTTTCCATACGATCTTTTGTCTTACGATCTTTTGTCACGTAATCGTCCTTGTGAATCCTTCCATTCAAAAGGTTCGGGCAAAATTTATAAATAATGGATAAGACTATGAAATACGAGGCTTGTCTCAGCTCAATCTACAGATCATATAGATAGACTAATGGCTGGATCACCGCTGTCTCGTACTTCATTGGGATGCAGAAACATAACTGGCAGCCAATCAGCACAAACAAAATCGGCTTCAGATTCTAGCTGAGGCACTATCCACTGCATGTGCATTGCGCACCACTGCAGCATATGAGCACTCTATTTGGTCGAGCAGCATTGTAATCTATCCCATTTTCTGACTTAATCTAGCCTGTAATGCAGCCCCTGCCCATGGGGAGTGCCAGATCAATGCTGGGTCATACTAGGCTAGGCTCTTCCCATGCCAACCTGTGTGCAGCACAGAGCCCCCCCCCCCCCACTGGGCCAAAGTGAGGGCAGCTTTTCAGCCACGAATCACACAAGAATGTTTCAGGCAAAATCTTGGGCAGCTTAGGGACACAAGACAGTGCTTTTTGTTAACACTATCAGCAGCATAAATAAATCCTAATGCAAGTAGGAATGTGCAGCATAGCCTTTAGCATATGGTTATGCTGGTGGATCTGACTGGCGAGGAATGAAGAAATGTTTGGTGGCAGCCCTAAGAAATGTTTGGTGTATGCAATGGAGATCATAACAGCAAACCTACCACTCCATTGCTGCTTCAGCTCCTTTATTTCCTGTCAGAGCAAGAGCCTTCTCTCTGAAACAAACAAATAACACTGTTATAATTTTCACTATCTAAATCACTTTATTTCTTCCAGCAGGAGTGACAATGGAGAAACATTCTATGACTGCATAGAGAACAGTCACTCTCATTTCTTCACACACAATATGAATGCAACCAAGGCTTTCTGCATTACATGCAAGTAAAATCATAGCATGCTTATACAATAGGTAGGTATGCAGTACAAGATAGAGGCTAGATTGTCTTACGCTCTATTTTTTGGAAATCCCATTTCCAAAAGTGTATCCATGTTAAGCTCTTGTTTTCAAGAGTTGAGACTTGAAGAGAACAATCAGCCTGAAAAAGAGCATTACCAGATTAATCATGATCAACACAGACAGTTCAAGTTGCAGTGTCCATTGCCCATGCCCCAGCCCCGCAGGCCACAGATTTTGGAACAAAAGAAAAAAACTTAAAAACTGCCTGAGCCTCATAAAAAATACAGAACATTCAATTGGTCTTTGTTCAAAGTTCCTGCCACTTCAAAGTTCAATGGCAAAAACAGGTGATGCAAACTCCTCTAAATTGACAGAAAATGGAAGATCAGAGTTAAAGCCACTGTCATTAAGTTAGATTTAAGTGAATCCTAATCTACAATCAGATTCACAGCCTGGCAATTGGCAAACCCCTCCAATTAGACTTGGTATATAGGTTGGGCCTCACCAAACTTGGTCAATGGATATAGATAACGATCTGATAACAAGGCGCACAAAATCTAGGCTAGGCCCACCGGCCACCATATCCCAAAAGTTACAGAGGTTTGAATTACAACATGCTCCTCATAATAGCCTTGCTCATGATGAATATCACAAAATTGAAATCTAAAGCTTAAGTTTGAGATGTCGCTTTTGAGACCGCAATCGCATACCAATACTGATACACGTTTTCTGCAGGTCAAGGTAGGTTGAGGTATAACCAATCAGGGCTGCGGAGTCGATGGATTTTCGGCGACTCCGACTCCGACTCCGGCTTTCAAAAACCAGCTCCGACTCCGACTCCGACTCCGGGCAGAATTGTCGGCTCCGACCGACTCCAACTCCCGACTCCGCAGACCTAGCAGGGCTGCGGAGTCGACAGATTTTCGTTGACTCCGACTCCGGCTCGGGTTTCTAAAATCGACTCCGACTCCGACTCCGACTCCGGTCACAACTGTCGACTCCGACCGACTCCGACTCCGACTCCGCAGCCCTGTAACCAATATACCTATAAACAACCCACCCACAGGCTTTTCTGCAGTCAAAAGAAGCAAATTTTGGATCTGTCCTATCTCTAACAAGACAGCACAACATACAGACAAAAATTACAAACAAACTAACCCGACTCAAGGCCCTAACCCAAGGCCCCTAACCCATGAAATTCAAATACACAATAATTACATGACAAGCAAGCCAGCAAGGATTGACTTTTGAGGCCAACCTTTCTCTGATGAAACTATTAAAGCAAATGACGTAATTTTTCATTACTTTGCTAATTGGTTAAATTCTGTGTAAAAATCTTTTGTAAGGTAATTTTTTTCATTTAAATAAAATATTCAATATTTTGTATAATTATTATAAAATATTGTCACAGTCAAGAGCTTTTAACGTAATACTTTGCTTCAGTAGCCGTATTTCCTTCAGCTGTTCAAAAAAGCGTCAATTATGGCGCATCTGTTTCGAGATCCTTGATAGATTATGTAAACATGATGTAAACTTGTAGTAAACCGGTTTATATAGCCCTATACTGATACCAGTTGATATAGCCTTGAGTAAACCTAAATGTAAATATAGGATGTAAACTTAGGACGTGCACGTGCGAGTTGATAGCGTGTATTTTTACATGAATCGTATCTTATTTACCATGGCTGCCATGGCTTATACAAGCCATGGCAGATAGGAAGAAGGGCAGGCTAGAGACCTTGCTAGAGACATTCAGAATCAGGGGTCATTGCGCCAGGCGGCAGGCCGAGGTCTCCAGAGCCTCCGAGCGTAATCGTTTTTGTGTTTTCACGGCAGAATTTGAATTGCGTTGCAGAATTGAATTGCAGCTCAAGCTGCATAACTGCCATTCCAGTTCAAAGGTCCGTTTTGATGCAGTTTCAAGTCCGTTTTGCCCTGGGAACTCTGACATGCCAGATTTCTGCCGGTCTAAGCGGAACACCATCCACATCGGAACAGGGGTTTGGGTCAATATGGTTGTATACCTTGACCTACCGATTAGCTAGTCTTTGCTGTAGCACTCCAGAGTTGGTATGGTGTTGGACCGCCAAGTCTGGCTCAATTCACCTGGTGAGTTGAGCCAGACTTGGCAGATGTTCATCGCACGATGAACGTGTGAAGCCGCACGATGATCCGCCCTGGTCAGCGATCGGGCGTTTGAGTTCTCAGTACTAACCCACAATCTTGATCTCATCTTAACACTTCATATGATATTTCCAGACACTAGTTCATCATGTCAAGATGCGGGTGAGAAGACCATTAAGCGGAGTGAGTCTGTTAATGTCACGTCTGAGGAAGGCGGCTGGAGTCATTATTGCTGTGGAAGTCGGGTGCTGTGCAGCAGGATATTGGGCTTTCAGAAAAACCAACAGAGACCAAGGTAATGCATGTTGATTATTTTTGTTAGTTTTTTCTTTCAAAAGGAAGCTTTCATAGAGGCTTATGACAGTTGCTTCAGAGTTCAGTGTTCCATCTAGTTATCAGGATAGCTGTTTTCAGCATTTGAGATTTTTCCTAAACATATGGCATTTTCAGTTATGCAATGAATGCAGATAACAAGGGCTAGTGCTACATTTTCAGAGTTCCGTTTCTACCTGAGAAACAACTGGCCGACGGTGTTGGACGCTTACTACACGTTCTGCGGCCAACTGGGCGAGGAGTACCGACAGATCGAACTGCGGGACATCCAGGCCTGGCGAGGACGCACCCAGTGACGAATTGGTATGGATTAGGCTGGATGATCTAAGTCAATTCATACCACATCACGTTCCGTCGGAAATCGTTATGTAATGCTGGATTATGTACAATAGTGCGTTAGTGCTGTTTGTATGAGCGCATGCTCTTACGTAATGCTAAGAACTTTTCTTCTTTCCCTAACTTCAAAGCTATTATTACTAACTCAGAAAGAAACGTTCGACGCCAGTATGCCGGTGTCGCTACCTACATGCGATACGGTAAATTAGATGCAGAATCATCAGGCTGTCCCTAGCTTGCTGATGGCCTCTAAAGTGCGGGCTCCCCAAAATCACAGGGCCCCGCCCAAGCAGAGCGGTCGGGCTGTGAAGCTGCAACGCCAAAATCACTCTGAATGAGATTCGCATTGATTAATGTTTATTCAGTCGGCGAAATAATTGAAAAAATCATATTTGCTAACCACAGCACGATTCTAATTACACATCCGCAGTGCTCAAAGTTAATTCGCGTGTGCCGGTAAACTTCCACCAGCAGCGTAGAATTACTAGCGCCATTAAAAGTCGAACAGTGCTCTTGGGTACGAAGTGGCGATTTTTTTTACTGTAGGTTACCTGCCGTTTCACAGATTTTACCACGATGTCTGCCGCGCTGATAAAGGGTCTGACCCACCTGGTGTTCTGGTCCGGCATGGGCTACATGCTGATGCAGGTGGTCACGCCCAGTGACGACGAGATCAGAAAGGTAAGAGCGCCACACTCGACACGGATTTCATTGATTTACCCGTACCTGCTTACCATACCAACGAATTCCGGTTGGCACCTACCGTATTACCGTGCTCGCATTTGCCTTTGTTTCGGAACTGTCACTGTACTTTGGTCGTTGATTTCGAGCGGTTTCTTACGGTGTGTTTGTCGTCAGAAATTACCGGGCGGCCAGAACTCGGCGTCGTCCGACCCCAGCCACAACAAGCTGGTTATGGAGGCCATGAAACGGTCGGCCGGGGTCAAGGACAAGTGACCAGCGCCGCGACCAACCCCCTAGTGCAATCGAACTCGTGTGGAGAACGGTAACCGAGTGAGTGGAACCGAAACCAGTGATTATGACCCACTTGATGCCGTTACCTCGCTGGGACAGGATAGATAGTGTTTTTAAACGTGTGAGCTGCGTTGCATTGTGTGAACGATTGTCGCGATTTGCTGTTTTGGAATAGAGTGTACGAGTATTACATGGCTTGTTCTGCGCATTTATCGCGCAAGGCATTAGCGATACCCGATGATAATTCCCTTGACAAGAAGTCCGACCCTAAAATAAACATTTTCAATGTTAGCATTGGTTTATTTAAATATGATATCACATTGGTACTACTCGCAAAGCAAGCAGTATCGTCAAAATGGGTGGGGTAAAAATACCATACCTGACACAGCCATGCGAGATTCATGCCTCATGCTTCTAGACCACCTCTCCCACTGCTCTCTTCCTCCCTCATCCGTGTTCCTCTTTCCTCATCTTTCATCCGCTCCTCTCCCTCCTCCCCACAGAGCTCCAGCCGTCCGGCGCGGCGCAGACAGCGCCACACTCGCCGCAGTCGCGCCGGACCGAGCTGTCCGCGACTGTAGGCGGCGCGCTCTGCGTCTCCGCAGGCCCAGCCGGGGTCAGAGAGGCGCCGGACGCGGTGACCGGCCAGCCAGATACCCAGTGACACGTCCTCGCCCTGGAACCTGCATACAGGGGGAAGGCAGAGGTCAGAGCGGAGTCGGGCTACACCCAGTGGCACGACCGTAATTGAAGCTGCCGACGGGGGGCCGCACAGGTCAGGTCGGACGGGTTATCCCGCGCACCGACGGGGGTCTGCGCCAACTTCGCACCGACGGGGGGGGGGGGGCGGATGACCGCCCCCCCCCTGAGATCTCGAGAACGAAGCAAGATAGCGACAAGCGGTAAACGGCATCGGATACGCACGGCCAAGATCTACAATTTTTACTGAGGTCATTTTCAGGTCAGGTCAAAGATGACGTCACAGGGGTCGAAAAAGTCAAAATGGCGGCGCTAGATATGGAGAGTTTTTCTCGAATAACTTTCGAATTGGTCAAGATAGGAACAAACTAAGGGCATCATCGTGATCCTCTCGTCAATCCGCATCGAATGATATATATGTTGACCTCGAAAGGTCAAGGTCAAAGGTTGACCTCAGGTCACGTGACCTCGAGGTCATCATGTATATCATTCGATGCGTCTTGACGAGCTGAACACAATGAGGCCATCCACGCGTCTGTATCTTGTTCCTGTACGGAGTTATTGGCCAAAAACCTTTGGTGACCTTTGATGACGTCACATGACCTCACAGCTGCCCAACAGCAAAACAGACCTCAAGGTATTGAAGGTTGATCGTATATGAAGTCATGTATGGTATATGGGGCCATTCCGACCCGTTTTAGTGGTAAAAACAGGGAGTTGATTTTTCCCCCATTGACTTATAATGGGGAGGTCGCGAAATTGACCTGACCTTAGGTCACCGATATCAAAATTCCGAGATATACAAATTGTAGCTACTAATGACCTAATAATATCCTGCGACTTTCAAAGGTCTCCGACATCTACTGTAGCTCTGGCACGGTGACAAAGTTGCAAAAAAGTGACTTGAGGTTGGGTCATTCAAAGTGACCTGGTGACCTGACCTTAAAAGGTAGGAGGTTCAAACTTGCACACCATGTGTAAAATTGATGAGGTTATAGTCATACCAAATTTCGCGGCGCTACGCGCCGCGGTTTTCCCGCTATTCGCGAAAAACCTCAGGGGGGGGGGGCGAATATCCGCCCCCCCCCGTCGGTGCGAGGGTTATAAGAATAGACAAGTCTTCGTATTTGTTCGAATTATTTTTTTATTTCTCAATGTTATTTTCAGACACCGAGTGACAAGGGTCGGGCCAAACCTAATAATGCATTTGCTTATAATTCATTCATCTCTTTCCTATACCTCGGCTTCCCAGGCGCGCGCACACTGCACATACTCACCCCCAGCGGTCATCGCTGTAATTTCCGTATCCATCGCTCCCCACCCGTGCCCATCTCTGACCTGGTGAGCTCTGCTCGGTTCCGCGCCAGCCACCGGACGACGTCCGCAGAGAGTATGCTGGCCGTACCGCAGGCGAACGGCGGGTACACGGCGGCCTGGTACTCCAGCTCGGCCCACTTGCCGTACCGGTCCGCCGGCCAGTTGTACCTGAACGGACGAGTGCGGGGTACGTGATCGGGCGGATTACGGGAGACCAGCTAAGGGGTACATGATGAAACAGGAAATGTTTGTAAGGGACGGGGTTATTTACACCTGGCAAGGGACGGATAAGCCGAATTACCGAGCACGGGACTTCTTTTTATGGTGCGGGAAGGCCTTATGAGACGATATATGGGGACATGACCATGTTTTGTACGTAGCATAATGCAGAGTCAACAATTGCGACAGCACATATGTGCAGTCGTGCACTCGTCTCCAATCTCTATACTGACCTGAACTGGCCCCACCAGAGCCCCCCATCCGTGTGACGGGGTATATTCTCCAGTATCCGCGGTATATCCAACAGCACATCGTCGTCACATTTGATAACCCACTCGGCTGATGTCTCAGCGGCCCTGGAAACGCCACCAAGTTATGATTATACGTTCAATCACAATACTAACTGATAACGCCGTTCCACGTTGTCTTTTTCATCACTTCTTCGGTTCCTCTCATCCTCTGCCCACCGCGGTGTGCCCTTACCAAGTGAGGAAGCTGATGAGTTTATCTGGCAGCCTTCGATAGACATCCGGCCCCGGTACTAGCAGCAGGTCGCCGTGCCTCGCGGCCTCCTCAGACAGTGAGCGGGTCACGGCGTCCCCGTCCGTCCGGCGACACGTAGGGTCATCGAGGGGATCCGAGGGCGCCGGGCCGCTGGACGGGGCCGGTGACGGGTCGGCAGCCGAGGGGTCGTCTGAGGGGCAGAAAGGGACAGACGGGTTAGCGGTGCATTGACATGGGGATATTGAGATACTGAGATGTTAAGACATTGAGTGAATGTGGCGTGTTCAAAATTCGAGCAGGCGACCTATTCGAGGTTACAGCCATGAGAGATGAAACATGGCCACATGGGCATTGATCGTAAGTAGTCACTAAGCTATCACTGTCTGAATGGATTTCAGAGTGGGACTATTTCTTGCAGCCGTCCCCGCGCCGGCGTACCGTGAACGGTGTAGACGAGCGCCACGGGCCAGCAGAGCGGCTCCAGTCCGGGCCGCACGTGCCGTCCGTCCTCTGTGATCAGCGCCGTCACCCTCAGCTCGGTCGGCTCCGGCACCTCCGTCTGCCGACACTCCATCGCACCGGGCCCAGACACCACCCTCAGCCGGCCCATGAACCCAGCCGGCAGCACCAGCAGCGGCGACAGCGCGGTCTTGACGTCACTGGAGGCCGCCTCTGACGTCACTGGCGACCGGCCGACCGCCGCGGCCGCCGCCGGCTGACCGTCGGCCGTCTCCAGAGTGACGTCACCGGAGCGGAGTGGTGACGTCACGGCGCGGGCCACCATGCCGCGGAGCACGGTGAAGGCAATCCCGACGGCAGGTGGTCGTGGCACAGGGCCCGGGGTCAGACGGAGCTGCTGCTGACTGCCCACCGCTGCGGAAGAGACAGATGCGTGATGAACTGGGTGGAGCATCACGAACCTACACACACGGAGCAGCTCGGGGAAACCAGACAAGAAGGTTCAACACGCCAGCAGACGCATGAGCCATGCAAGCGGCTGTTTCACGAAGTCATCACTCATCATCTACGAACTCCGGTAGTACGGCACGTGGAGGAACATTCAGCTCGTAAACAACACTGATAGGCGACACCCACCATTGCGAGGCGGTCTCCATGGCTCGCAAGAGTACCGGTCCAGCCGACAGCGGTCGGCGAGTGGACAGTCCGAGTCGCCCACGACAAACACCCCGCGGGCCCCTGCAGCTTCCAGCTGCGGCCACCAGGTGTCTCTGATGGCGTCGCGCTGCTGTCGCCGCCGACGGCCCGAGAGTACGCCGACGACCAGCCGCGCTCCGGGGGCAGTGTTGTGGGGGTCAGCGGGGTCATCTGTGGAGGAGGGGAGGGGGTGTAAGGGCGGAACATTGGAGGGCGTCGCCTTCAGATCAGTAGGGGATGGGAAACATCAATTCAGCAAAAAATAAGAAGTAGCATATCCAGAAACGTTATATGATTATTCAATAACTACAAGACATTATGGAACAGTTACCTTGGGAATACTGAAAGAAGTATGACGCGAATACAGCTGAAACGGTAGCAATCACACAAGTAATTCCCAGTTTCTTCGAAAACATCAACGGCGTGTGCACCGCTCGGTCGCTATACTTTGACTTTAGACATTTCTTTTGTTGCCGGGCGGGTACCAAAGCCGCACGACGAATTTATGACGCTATCGGACCTTATCTTGCGACAGACGAGCTACATCACAGCACAACAGAAATGGGTGGTACCACGTGAGCGCTGATGGCCCCCTTCTGTTGACTTTCATCAGCTGTTATGATCGCACCACATTTGTCATTACTGCGTCATTTTTGCGGCAAATATTCAGCTTCAAATATGGCACACTCTAGGAGTATTTAAGATGACGTCACGAAGTCAGCTATTTACTTTTTGGTATTTCTCTGCGCTAAAATGAATTTTGAGTGGACGACTAATGTGCAAAAAGATATAGAAATCCCTTTTGACAATTTTTTGAAACCCAGAATCGTTTGTTCGACTTGAATTTCATGATTTTGATTGCGACGCACTTACGTCATATCTTCAATTGCTGCCAAATTATCTTAGCTCATGCAAATCCTTGCCGTGTTTTTATCGTTTGCTTGATAACGATCGAAGTCACGTTTTGTTGCGAAACCGGTTTGGGTTATATTTATTTATTTAATTGTAAGACCCCGCCTTTGATGCTGATATTTGTATTATTTTCATCATCTTACAACCCTTCCATTACAACAACTTTTTTGTTTCATCTGCTCTCGGAACTCAACTGAACTGCCAGTGACTTGTAACGAGTGCATTCGCAGAGCAGGCATTTCAACTTGAATTTTCCATATTTCGCAGTCTGGAGTTTCCGACTGAACCCTGTTTTAGCATCTTGTCACTTGTCTGATGATTATTCAGTGTATATACCTGAACCTGTAGCATTGTTGGTCTCAATTTGTTACAGATGGGGTCTGTTCGTCCTCCCTCGGTGGTGCCGCTGGAGGAGAGGACGGAACAGTTTCTCACCAGTCCGGATGGCCTTCCTATCCATGACTTCAGGTAATATATGCCTTTGGGGCTGTTTTCAGCATTTTTTTCGATGCACAAATATAGATACATTTTGAGTTATCTGGTTCTGGTTTAGATTTTGATTTATTGCTTCTTGCCCAGTTTTATTTTATTGCCATACTTATGTCATAAGTAGGATTGTTTCCATGAAGTAAAAACAAATTTGTAGTACTTGCAAACTAAAATACATTTTTAACCAAGAAATCAGTTCTATTTTGCAAAGAACATGACAAACATGACCCTCCAGTTGCTTTCCATCTAATGTCACAGCCCCTCCCTGGCTCCCTGCCATATTCTATTCATAGGTACTGCCAGGAGTATGTGGCTCCGGCGGTCAACTATGCAGACTTGCTGGCCACCGAGCGCAGTCCAGTGGCCACTATGCTGCAGGTAATACACACACTGGAAGGTCAATCATCTGCTGGTCTTCCCCAGCTGTCAAGCCAATCGTTGGCCTTATCTGGGTTTTATCTTGCCCAAAGTGTTTCCTGAATGGCTGACCTTTGCTGTGTCATCTTGAGACCCAGACAAAAAAAGAACAATTTTTCCTAAGCTTTTAAGGCTCCCGTCATCTGTGATATTCTGAAAGAGCAGTGGTCTGTCCCTTTCTTATGACCCTAACTAATGACCCTGACCTCTCTCCTTCCTGACCTGTGACCCCATCACCCCACAGGTGGACCGTGACCCGACCACAGGTCGCGTGCTGACCTTCTCCGAGGTGCCGATCGACGCCGCTGAGCTGGGCCGGACCGCGCACAACTCGTTCTCGTTCCGCCGGGCGCCCGGTCCGCCGGAGCAGGACGTCCGTGGAGACGTGGCCAACTTCCCGTTCTGGCCGGGAGGCAGCCTGGAGGCGCCGCCGCCACCGCCGGCCGTGGCCGAGCTGGATACCCTCCTGCCCGATGGTGGGTCTCGGGGAGAGGGGAGGGGGGGGGGGGGTAAGGCCATCCGAGTTGGATACCCTCCTGCCCGACGGTGGGTCTCAGGGGAGATGCAGGCGACATCAAAGCTTAAGCGTTTTTTTTCCAGATAATCTACCTATCCCACACAGTTATGACAGAGCGAGTGACGGGCTCAGAGGCATGTTCAACCGTGCACGAACCATCATAGTTAAACCGTAACTTTTTAGTCCGACTCTGACTCGTTTCCGTCCCGCCCCCGCAGAGTACCTGACCACGGCGCCGGGTCTCTCCGAGGGCCTCTCTCTGCCCTCCCTGACGGACCAGCTCGACGCCACCCCGGCCGCCGCTCCGGTCTCCTCCGGGCCGGAGCCGGAGCCGGCGGAGCTCGGGTACGACTGGGTCTGGCAGCGCCCGGAGGGGGAGCAGCCGGTGGCAGAGATGGCAGAGTGGGACCGGGAGGCGGCGGCGGCGGCGGACCAGGCGGACGGGGAGCAGCAGGCCGCAGAGCTGGAGGCCGCGCTCAAGGTGACCGGCGCGGAGAGGGCGAGAAATGGGTTGGTGGGTGGTTAAGGGAGGCCGCTTGCGGAGGGGCGAGAGTCGTGTTAAAGTCCATTGGTTGTTTTAGTTGTGTGCTGGGATAATGTGACGAATCCTTGCTGTGAAAGGGAAGTCTTGTGTGGCTTTAATTTCTGGAGCAGCAGTTGACAGCTATTTTTATTGACTCGAGCTTTAAATTAGTTGGTGCTTAGGGGACTTTCGGGAACGCTGTTTCCGTTCTTTCGAATGCACCCGCTTATCGTAAGTCCCACTCTAACCTGCCTCCCTCTCCCAGCCGGAGCCGGCGCTGGTGCTCTCCACGGCAGCCGCGTCGGACGCCCGCGCCCGCTCGGGCCGCGCGCTGCGCTCCTCTCAGTGGGCAGAGGAGGTGGACATCAGCCGTCCTGTGGAGGACTTTCACCGGCAGGTGCCCAACATGGCGCACCGCTACCCCTATGAGCTGGACACCTTCCAGAAACTGGTCAGTGGCAAAGGGATGGAACGGGGGTAAATAAACCGATCAGTAGCGAATGACGGGGAACTGGGAATGGCATTCGATAGAAACAAGTGATGTGCTAAGATAAGACAGGATGCGAGATGATAAGATGGTGCGATAAGGTTGCGTGCGTTTGCGCTAAAGGTTGTAGTCGGTATGGATTATGTCCAAATAATTGATTGGCGTTCAGCCTACAAAGTTCAGTCGCACGGTCCAATGCAATCCATCCACTCTGCCTTTGCACAGGCCATTCTGCACATGGAACGTGGTGAGAGTGTGTTTGTTGCCGCGCACACCTCCGCGGGAAAGACGGCGGTGGCAGAGTACGCCATCGCCCTCTCACAGAGGAACGGCACCAAGTGAGTGGACGGGAGAGGGACGCTGTCGGGACGGTCGCTGGTGGTCTTTGGTAATCGATGGGTGTCGGGAACCTGGAAGCTTGGATGCAAGTGACGCACCAGCTATTCATCCAGTGTAAGTAAATCTGGAATGATGCACAGTTTTGATTGTGACTGCATGATGGTCACTGTGCATACTGCATAGATGATAGACTTTCACTCCAGCGTTGGCTTGAAAGCCTGTCGTAGATCAATATTCATTTAACATGTATGTGTAATTATAGAAGTTTGTAATGTATTGTTTTATTTCCCTTTCCAGAGCCGTTTACACATCACCCATCAAGGCGCTATCGAACCAGAAGTTCCGCGACTTCAAGAACAGTTTCACTGACGTGGGGTTGCTGACGGGCGACATTCAGATCAACAAGGAGGCGTCCTGCCTGATCTGCACCACTGAGATCCTCCGCTCGATGCTCTATAACGGCAGCGACCTGATCCGTGACCTCGAGTGGGTCATCTTCGACGAGGTGCACTACATCAACGACCCGGAGGTAGGCGCTCGATGGTCAGACTAGGCGCAGCTGCTTTGGGAGTGTGGAGGTCGGGACTGGTGCGTTATATGTATCACACATGATTAAATGCAAATATTTTGACCTTAAACGTTTTCCCCGCGTTCGCAGTCTCCCAGACGACGAAGATTCTACGTCGTCCGGCCAATAGCGTTCGATAACCGCGGCCCAGCCCCCGCCTACCTCGAACGGGATTGGCCGGACGGCGTAGAATCTTCGTCATCCGAGAGACTGCGAACGCGGGATTAGTCGTAACACATGAAAGCTGAAGGAACTTCTTTATATTTTAAATGTACATACCCACGAAGTTGATGTTAATTTCCCTTTTACGTAAGACGCAGACTATTTATTAGTCCATCTGATCTTGTTCGTTCGTCCGTACCCCTCTCACCAGCGTGGTGTGGTGTGTGAGGAGTCTGATCCTGGTCGGTAATCACTCGGTCCGCGTTTGTCTCTCTCCCTGCAGCGTGGTGTGGTGTGGGAGGAATCGCTGATCCTGCTCCCGGAGACGGTCGGTAACCACTCGTTCTGTGTTTGTCTCTCTACCCCCAGCGCGGTGTGGTATGGGAGGAGTCTCTGATCCTGCTCCCGGAGACGGTCGGCATCGTCCTGCTCTCGGCCACCGTCCCCAACACACTGGAGTTCGCCGACTGGATCGGGTCCATCAAGGTACATAAAAAGTTGTACTTATTCATCGCATGTCATGTTTGTCTGCTGTGTCGATCTCTTTCTAATGATAGGGCTAGACGCCCTAGCATGATCGATTTTTGAAGATGTTGTTCTTAGTCGGTGGCATTTAGAAAATGATGCAAAAGTGTATCATCTTTGCTGACACCCCGCTCCCGTTTCTGCAGAAGCGTAAGGTGCGCGTTATCAGCACGCTGAAGCGTCCGGTACCGCTGGAACACTTCCTGTACACGGGGCAGGGCGGCAAGTCGCGAGACGACCGCTTCCTGGTGCTCGACTCGCGGGGACAGTTCTCCCGGCCCGGGTGAGGCGGGCAGGCTCGGTCAGATGTCTTGTGATGGTTGATAAATGTGTGCGAAATAGTTGAAGCCCGGCGGGAGTTCTTGACTTGTGTAGTCTATGGAAAATTGATTGACTGCTTAGGATGGGTGTTTAAATCGGACAGCCTCCTAACGCGCCAGTCATGGCATTCTAGTAGTCGATTAATGCTAAGATGTGAGCATTTTTTATCGTTTTCTTTTCTTATCGTTTTAGATGTCATTTATCATTTTCAGCATCGCATTTGACGTAGGTATTGTTATAGTTTTTTCTCATGCCAACACAATTCCACTCCTGATAACTAAAAGACCAGCGATTTAACCAACATCCCACCCTTTCCAGCTACATCAAGGCAGTGGACGCCAAGACCAAGGCCTCCTCCAAGTCGGGCGGCGGCGGTGGCGCCGGCCGGGGCGGCCGCGGCGGCGGGCGGGGCGGGCACGGCGGCGGCTCCGGCATCACCCCGCAGCAGGAGCGGAACACCTGGGTGGGCCTGGTGGACCACCTGCGGCGCGCCGACCTGCTGCCCGTCGTGGCGTTCACCTTCTCCCGGGCGCGCTGCGACGCCAACGCTGCCTCGCTGACCTCTCTGCAGCTGACCTCGGAGCGCGAGAAGGGCGAGATCAGGATGTTCTTCAGCCGGTGCGCCCAGCGGCTGGCGGCCGCCGACCAGAAACTGCCGCAGGTGGGACGCGGGATGGCGGACTTAGTCAGGGCGGGTCAGAGCAAGGGATCGAGGATGGCTGGTTATGGGTGGTTGTCAATGTTCTATAACGTAGTTTCCCAATGTGATATAACGCTCACGTCATAGTTCTAGAAACCTTCCTTTTGCGCATACTTTATTTTGAAGGTCCATGAAGGCCATGTCCATGGCTCTAAACTAAGTTACTACCCCACTCCGCTAACCCGTCCGCTCCCCGCCGCCCCCTCAGGTGACCCAGATGGCCGAGCTGCTGACCCGCGGCGTGGGCTCCCACTCCGCTAACCCCTCCGCTCCCCGCCGCCCCCTCAGGTGACCCAGATGGCCGAGCTGCTGACCCGCGGCGTGGGCGTCCACCACAGCGGCATCCTGCCCATCCTGAAGGAGGTCATCGAGATGCTCTTCCAGCGAGGACTGGTCAAGGTGAGGAGCTGTGGGACGACGACGGAAGGCTGGGGGGGGGGGGGGGGACAGCTGCGTGGCCTTGGGTGTGAACTGTGAAGGTAGTGGGGGGGAGGGGGCTGATTAGTGCTGCATGTTTATTGCCGATGTGGAGAGGTCGAAGGTTACGATTCTCCAGCTACGAGTGGGTCTTGATTCGTATACAACCCCGAAATGCACAGGCGATCCATTGCGCCTCGATTCAAACAAATCAGCCGTGCGCTTCTTTCAAATTAATCATCTGAAATGTTTTGCTAATGGCTGCCATAGTCAACTTAGCCAACTTGCACAATGCACATGCTTATTATGCCGAAGATGTCTCTCCAAACCGGTAGTACTCTAATCTCCGACGGAACGCCAGCTCGGCCGGCGGCCGGCGGTGACAGCTGTGATAAATTACAGGCCCGCTGTCAGGCTCGGAGTCGGTTGGTCCGGCCCGGCTGAGCTAACGGTGACGTGGGCGGTGGTGACCTCAGTGGATTAGTGACGTCATCAGGATATGACATCATCACCTCAGTATCGAGTTTCACATCAGCCGCCGTCTCTGGTTACGTTTTGGGATGTTGTATAGGGGGTATAGCTCAGTGGTAGAGCATTCGACTGCAGATCGAGAGGTCCCCGGTTCAAATCCGGGTGCCCCCTGGTAGCCGCTATTCGGCGCCGGTTTTGTGGGCTGCTGCGTGGGGTTCGAAGCCGAGAGCGATCCTACGTCATGTCCTTGACAATGTCGCTGAGTAAGTTGCGGTCTGATAATGATTGATTGCGGTCAGCGGTGGGAACCGGAGGCAAATCCCATGGTGACAATATTCAGAAGCCTTGAAGGCCTCGTCGGATGGTCGAGGCAGGATGGTTTTCTGAGGCGTATTCTGTCCACAGCGCCTGCTCAGTGCTCAGGAGCTCTGTCGGAAAGGCTGACTCTTATCTGCAGGCTTACAGTTACTACATTTTTAATAGGTGTGTCGAACTGTGGGGAAGGCTGTGTGTGGAACCATCCTGCTAACAACCTATAGTCAGAATATGATACAGAGTAAAAAAAGAAGAAAAAACAGTTGTAGACTCACTAATCCTCTCTATATTCCACTGTCTACCCGTTTCCGTTTCTGTTTCGTACATTACCCGTCCCGTCACCGACACTGACGCTTTCTTCTTCCGCAGCTTCTGTTCGCCACGGAGACGTTCGCCATGGGCGTCAACATGCCGGCGCGGACGGTGGTGTTTGACTCGATACGAAAACACGACGGCAGGAGCTTCAGGACGCTATTGCCCGGTGGGTGCGCGGGACGGAATACAGGGAGGGGGGGGGAGGGGAGGGCTCGAAGGAGAGAGCATGATGTATGGATCCTGATTTAACTTGTAGTACGCATTGCTGTCCTAGGTTAACGAGAAGATGAACTAAAAGTGACTGTGTGATTGTATGCTGCTAGTAATTTGTAGCATATATAAATGGAAACTTATAGGTATCAAGGTTGTGAGCATCACTTGCAGAAAAAAGCTCGAAGGTGCACACTTTCCTGGATAATCCTGATAGTTATCACATTCGCATCACGTTTGACTGTATTTATTTAAAGGTATCTCATAGGTTTCTGAGTGTCTAAATTGTGTCGTATATCACGGTGCTATGTCACCTGACTGCTCTGTGTCGCGTTCACAGGCGAGTATATCCAGATGGCGGGACGGGCGGGCCGGCGCGGTCTGGACCCCACCGGGACGGTGATCGTGCTATGTAAACACGAGGTGCCCGAGGAGTCCGAGCTGCACAACATGATGCTCGGTAGGTTCGGGGAGACCGTTTGGCGAAAACAGCTCAGTGTTCGTGGAGGGATCGTTGTGCTTATGACGTGCTATTGGAACTGGAGAATGGAGGTTCTATTGCGACTTTGGCAGATTATTGGGACGCGACGAATAAGGTTTTGTTTTGCCGGGCTTGTCCTAGAATTTGGGCGTAGCGATAGTTTGTCTTGAAAGGTGCGTTTTACATGCTACCTCATACATAGGTTCCGGTCAACTAGATGACATGAATCGTTCATAAATCATAGCCTATTCTCGGGTTTGAGTTTGACATATGTGACTTCACTTCCAATCTAAATTACTGCCTCTCAGTTTACGGAAATGGAACACAAAAGAACCTGAATCGACTCCAAAAGATCCTGAACTTCGCTACTCGAGTTATTTTTGGCCGCCGCAAATTCGACCACGTCACTGACCTGCGCGAGAAACTCAACTGGATGCCGCCCGAATATATGTACAAACTTCAAACTATGGCCACTGCACGTAAGGCGATACACTACGGCGAACCGGTAGCACTTGCCTCTATGTTTGCCAGAAACCGGGACTCCTCAACCAGGGATAGAAATACACGTCAGGATAACCTTCTCCAGCTCCAGCGTCCCCGACTAGAAACCGGTAAGCGGCGTTTCAGTTACCGTGCCGCCGCGCTCCTAAACGACCTACCTCCCGAACTTTCACAGCTGCCACCCTCTAAATTCGCACGCGCTGTCAAGTCTCTATGGAAAAACGATAGACCATCGTGATAACCTGAATTAGGCACTCGTCTTGTATATAAGTACACGGTATGTTAGAAATCGTGCATATAGTCTTCCTGTGTGTGCGTGTGTGTGTGTGTTGTTGTTGTTTGACTGATCTTTGTTCCTGCTTGCATATACCCGACACAGACTCTGGGCAGTAATCGCCACGCCATGTGTGGATCGCCCATGATCGTAAATACAAATACAAATACAAATGTCTGTGCTGTTAGAGCTGACAGCTGACAGACAACTGACAGCTCTGTCAGTTACGCGGCTAACCTTTTACCACTGTCTGTCTGCGCAGGCCGTCCAACGAAGCTGGTGTCGCAGTTCCACCTGACGTACAGCATGATCCTGAACCTGCTGCGCATCCAGCAGCTTCGCATCCAGGACATCATGAAGAGTAGCTTCGCCGAGACCGGCACCCAGAAGAACAGGGCCGAAAACGAGAGGCGGCTGGCCAGGTGGGGCGAAGGCTGGCGCGGGGAAGGCTCACAGCGGCTGCTTAGGCTTGTGATCTAACAGCACAGATCACAGTATATTGCGTCAAGTTTAGAACTGGGCCTATGTAAGTCCGAGACCGACTTCACTGTCGGGTTTCTTTAAGTTAGATGAGGTTATGTTGTCGTTTGAAAAGGTTATGTTTCATATATGGCGTCTCCTAGCTGTATACAACAGTATCGTGCGCAGTCCCCTGACGGAAACATGTATGCTCAGTTTACAGGAGCAGTCGGAGAAGCAGAAGCCGGCCATTGACAAGTCGTGTCGGGACATTGAGGACTTTGTCACACTCTGCCGGGACTACCTGCAGATGAGAGACAGTGTCAGGGTAAGTAGAATATATTATCTGTAAGCGTAACTAATTGCCGGACAATCTACCCCGTAAGTGAGGCCCATGTCAGTGATATCCATCGTCTAGCGCTTGGGAATGTGGGTGCCTTACCCAGCCTGTCCAGTAACATTTTGCCCTTCTGTCTGTAGTATATTAACGTAAAAGCAATAATGAAATACGTAACTAAAGAGTTCAAATAAGCGCCAAGAAAGAACACATCAGCCTCGACCGGCCGCACCGCGCGCACTGTCTGACCCGACCGCCGCGCCGGTCAGCTCGGCGGGGTCACCGCGGTCGTGGCGGCTGCCGATTGGTCCGCGCACTCGAGTCCGCGCCCGCGCTACTCGGCCGGCGCCGCCCGGCGCACACAGGCACGGCATGACGGAAAGTTCCCAACCAGGATCATGATACCACACTGTCGTATCGCATACGTATAAGATGGTGGCAGTACCCGTCTCAAATCACACATTTCACTCTGCCTGACGTATCCCCTTCGCGTGTTCCCCATCTATCTCTAAGAGCGTCTGTACGCGTCCACACCAGACTAGATTTTACACTCTCCCCGGCCCTGACGTGTTCCCCTTCTGTTCATCCCCAGGAGCGTCTGTACGCGTCGAACGCGGGCGTCAAGGCGCTGGACACTAAACTCTCCCCGGTCCTGACGTGTGTTCCCCGTCTGTTCATCCCCAGGAGCGTCTGTACGCGTCCAACGCCGGTGTCAAGGCGCCGTGTATTGCACCCTCCCCGTCTGACGTGTGTTCCCCGGCTATTCCCAGGAGCGTCTGTACGCGTCCAACGCGGGCGTCAAGGCGCTGGAGAACGCCGGTCAGATCGTCACCTTCTCCACCGAGCGGCTATCACGGCGACTCGGCGTCATACTGCAGGTTAGTAAACGAACCGAGTCGCATCCTGTCTAAATATTGCTATTTATTCATTTATTTTCGTTCAAGATCCGTACAGCTAGATGCATATATCACCCGCTCCTCGGTTATAATGACGAACGTTATGTTTTCTGTTCCGCCACCATTATTTCTCTTCCGAACCAAGAGCAATGCCCATACCAGATTCGCTACTTGTCTAATTCATAAACACTTGTTTAGAGACGCTTGGACCATGTTTCCGATAAAGTGATTGACGCCACGATCCCCGTGCCGTTTTCTAGGTGCACCGCGGCGGCTCGGGCTCGTTAGGCGGCGGCTCGGGCACCGTTCAGTTCACCGTGCTCGCCTGCGACGACGACGTCCGGCCGGAGGGCACCTCTCCGCTGGCCTGGAGGATGCGGCAGGCCGTCAGCGAGGCGGTGTACGAGCCGAGCGGGCCGGCTTCGTATGGGCTGCACACCATACAGCGGGCGCAGGTCGACCTCATCATGGCTAGGGGCGTGAAAGGTAACTAATCTGATATGTGATTTCAAGGTGATTGAGAGGATAGCTGTTGGTGGGAGTTAGCATAAACGGAGAAAGATGTGTAAGGCTACATATGGTAATGCGTCGTACATGGGTTCTTAATGTCCTTACAGGTGTCAGTTGCAAATGTCGTCATTTTTAAATAGACTACCGCGTGGATGAAAATACTAGTGCCGAAAAAATACCAATACAGCTGCCGAAGCTCAGCGATGTAAGCACTAAGTGCAGCCTCAGAGTTCGGTTGTATTCTTTGATCTTGTCTTGTCCTGGTCTGATGACAGTACTCACAGAAACAATCAGAAAGTAACCAACTCTGGTGTTGTGACCTGACCTCCGTCCCCTCTTCCCCTGCAGTGGAGGCTGTGAAGGTGGTGGACGACGTCAAGAAGCGGCAGCTGGCGCGGTTCGCCGACAACCCGCCGTCTCCGTCCTGCGCGCTGGCCATCCGGGAGCTGGTGGCCGCGGCCGGCGGGCCGGCGCGGCAGCTGCACAACAACCAGCTGGAGCTGGCCGACGACCTGATCAGCCTGGAGCGGCTCCGGGCGCGCCTACTGGAGATGGAGTGTCTGCTCAGTCCCAGCTTCCACGACACGGTGAGAGAATACGTCGGGATGGATGATAAGACAGAGGTTTAACGACACGGTAAGACCTGAGGATGCACGAACGCACGGGCCTTCAGCGAATACGGTGATGAGGCTGCTGGGTTCGGACAGCTTTAGCGGATTTTGGTGAGAGCTGTGAGCCAATTGAAAGTACTAGTAACAAACAATGACCTGTAATTGGTAAGACGTGCAGTACCCTCTGAACAGCAGTATCTGTAGGGCTAGGCCGAACCTTCTCAAACTGTCCCAGGCTGTAGACGGATTTCGCTGGCGATAAATGCAACACTAGCTTCGTAGACTCGCGACACTGTTCCCGTTTACTACGCTGTCATCTGCTGGTGTCCTGTACCCACCCTCACTCTGTACCCGGCCCCGGTCCGCAGTTGGAGGCGGTGTGCCGGCACCGGCTGCTGTTGGATCAGCTGAACGACATCAAGTTCCAGCTGTCGGACGAGTCCCTCTCCCTGCTGCCCGAGTACTGCCTCAGAGTGGACGTCCTCAAACGGCTCGGCTATGTCGACAGCGACAACGTCGGTTAGTGACAACCGCCGGCTGTTTGGCTAGGATATTTTGGGACTGTGATCTGGAAATAACTTAAGAGTTTATTAAACTCTGCAAGCATCACTTATTTAGTCTGTGTGCTAAGGATTCTTATCATTGGAATGCTTCTGCAGCGATCAGACTTGAAGTCTCGTAGTCTCAGTCTCATACACGTCCTCTCGACCTAACCCAGTTTTAGTAATTTGCAGTGATATTCGATCATTCACAGTCAGAATGGCTCAACAAACCCTGTCCGACTCCCAGTGAACTGACTCAGTGCCCACTGGCTGTGGAATAACCCCATTTACCCCGCCCGTTGCGCAGTGAAGCTGAAGGGCCGCGTGGGCTGTCAGATGGGCTACCGGGAGATGCTGGTCACCGAGCTCGTTTTCCACGACGTGCTCACGGGCCGAGAGCCGGCGGAGATCGCCGCCCTCCTCTCGGCGCTCGTGTTCGAACAGAAACGCTGCAGCGAGCCCAACCTGACGCCTGTACTCGAAAAGGTAGGCGTGCGTGGCGGCTGATGAAGAATTAATGTGGGACGGATGGTGGTGGACACGGATTGGCTGGTGTGGCTTTTCTGTGCTTGGGTGACCGGATCAATTTATGGAGCTTGACAAAAATCGCTCCGATTGCACCCCTTCGTACGTTGCCACGCCTGCAGGGTAAACGGCAGCTCTAACTGGTTCAAAACTTGCAGGTCATAAGAAGAATACATTTGATCACGACATTCCGGCGAGATAATATCCGATTGAATTTGTAACGTTCATTGTCGCATGGGATATTAACAATACCTTGATTTAAATTAAAATAACACTCCCTATTAAATTCCCGTTTCTGTTAGGCTGGTACGTTTGCAATGCACGAGTGAATGTGGCCATCATGATCATTTTTACACGGTGTTCGAAGGATCGACAAAGGTCTAAACGCTTGTCGTTCCTAAAGCTCTCCTGCCGCCGTTTCGCAGGGAAAACTGGAGCTGACGGAGATCGCGGCTCAGATCGACGCGTGCCAGCACGAGTGTGGCCTGAACGATGCCGAGAAACACGAGGAGATGCTCAACTTCGGCCTGGTCGAGGTCGTCTACGAGTGGTCCAGGGGCATGGTAAGTCGCGGAGTTTTACGTCTTCCAACGGAAACGCTTTCGAATGGGAGGGTCTCTTCGTCCTAGGCGTTTGACTTAGAGTGTGGGCTACAATAAGTTAGTTTGGACAGTGGAATCAAACAGTAAAAGCTGATTTTTTTTTCGCATGTCCCATCATTCCTTGTATTTGCTGCTCCATACATGACAGGCGCGCTCCTTTCCTTCAGTCATGCCCACCAAAGGTCACAGGCGAGTGGAAAACTCGGTCGATCTGTCCGTGTGGGACGCCACTCTCGGAGAGTGGCGTCTCACAACGAATACGTTAAGTACGGGAGAGTGACTCTCCCGTACTTATCGTATTCGTTCACCTCTCCCTCTTTCCTGACACCCATTCTCTCCCCCGCAGACGTTCAGCGCCATCATGCAGCTGACGGACGTACAGGAGGGAATCATCGTGCGCTGCATTCAGCGGCTCGACGAGACGCTCCGTGACGTCAAAAACGCGGCGAGGACCATCGGAAACCCCACGCTCTACGAGAAGGCCGGCGAGGCGAGCACCTCCATCAAAAGGGACATTGTGTTCGCTGCCAGCCTCTACACGCAGACGTGATAAGAGGCAGGGGTCGGGTTAGGAATATCCCATGCCTCCTGTGGGCGAGACTGCCAGCGCCGCTTTGGCTGTGTTCCCTGGATAATAATGTGTTGTGTTTGTGGTTAACGGTTAATCATGCGTACCGATCTGCGTGATGTGTTGTTTCTGGTATACCTCGTGCTGGCCAATTACCAGTTACTGTGTTGACTGTTGAGTTCATTATCTACATTTTTGAGGTGCTGTGTCGCAGGAACTTGTTTGACCCTACTTCGGAGGATGCTTACGAGACTGGCGTTAACACGATGGCAAGGTTGTAAAAATCAAATGTTTGCAATGAAATGATGGAATGGTCAATGGAATAAAAATGATTTACCGAAAAGCGTTGCAAGATAATCAACGTCATAACAATACCGGGTGCTAGAAACCTTGACAAAGTAAATCACAGTGACCGCCTGAACTGCGACTGGTTAGCACGACCACGGTCTACTCACGAATCGCGGAATAGGGTACGGACTACGTGGACAATAAGAAATCAACGAAGTACCTGTAAGAGCTGAAGTGTATGTGATTTATTATGCCTCCGGAACGAGAAACATGTCCGATACGCGACAACGGGTTAATGAGGGAGTACGGAAAATATCCGAAAGCTCGTACAAAAAGCAGAGGTGTGCATCTATGATATTATTACATGCGAGTATATGACGTCATTTCCAACCCACAACCGGTGATACGAACAAAGGGGCCTGAATATCCAGGGAGACACGTCGTTCAGTCAGTCACCCACGGGTAACCTGACAACTAGCCAGCCATCCATCACACACGCAGGAAAAATGGTACGGCTGTGACCTCAGGTGGTCTCGGCCGGAAAATGTTACAAATATATCTCAAAATGAGATGAATACTAACGTCAGTGTTGTTTTACAACACGCACTGGCAGGCACGCACCCACTGAGAATGAAGTGCCGCCGTGTAAAGGGAAAAACGATTACGTTCGCGTGACCTTTCGCCTGACGCAATGACCTCTGACCTAACGTAATCGATTTTGTCTTTGCACGACAGAGTGGTCATTGGTCAACAAGCAAGTGGTCCATACTATCGTCGATGGACGTCTTGTATGCCATATCATTCAACACATCGTAAAAATAACTCACGTAACGGATCATTCACCAGCCAAACTCACATTACGTGTTTTTCCGTCGCGCTGTCACAGGTCAGGGCTGTCGCTTCCGGACCAGGATGTTGAGGTACTTGCCGCGCCGCATCTCCTTGGCTTCCTCCAGGCCCAGCAGATAGGCGACGTTCTGCAACTGCTTCACCACGTCCACCAGCTGCTCCGGCCTCAGGCTGGCGTACTCTGCGGACGTAAGGTGACGGTGAACGGACTGATAGCGTACAAAAACGGCCATCAGGGCCGGTAAAATAACATACGGGTACTCTCAACCAGACCGAACAGCCAGTACACATTAGTTTTGCGACTCTGACTGACCGTGGAAGAGCTTCATGTCCTGTTGTGTGAAATCCTGGTCTGTGATGAGGACGGGCGAGATGGCTGCTGTCGGACGAGCACCGCTGGCACCGTTGCTGTTGCTGTCCTGACACAGCAGCTCGGCACAAGCGGCATCTGGAAAACGGAAGCAACTCCAGTGAGCACGTGCTGGCTGTTGGGTGCTGGGTATGAAACATAACTGAGTCAAATACAAAAGCTTACATGTTTCTCCATTAAGGTAACTTTTAAAGGTTGAAGATGTACCAATTATATAGATTAATGCCAACAAATTGGGGCCTTGGGCACCCTTGACCCTAAGATTTACAAGTTATTATAGTTAATAAGATGATCAACATTGCCTATGTTGAAGAAATAAGGTACAGGATACACCAGTGACCAGTCTAATCTGCAATTGCATGCCAACACTACACTTCAATCACGATAGCAGTGTTCAATCTGAGACCTCCAGCCCACTCACAGTCTCCCTTTTCCGGCCATAACTCGGGTGACGCCCTGTCCAGAGACTCGGCACTCTGCAGTGATTGCTCCATACCACTGCCGAACGACATGACAGACCACCCTCAAGGCAGGATGAACCCTGAAAAAGAATACAGTAGTTACAGATGAAATGGTTACCTAATATAACCTCAGATGAAACACTGATTTCATTTTTTTTGCAAAAATTAAAGACATTACCAGGGGGTACAGTCTATCTTAAATGTACCGCGCAAAGTAATGGTGGATCCATCAAGCCTTACCGACGAAGGGCCTGCGGTCGGAAACACGGAGGTCCCCAAGCGTTTTCGTCTGCTTTAATTTGAAAGTCACCGAACCAATTGGCCTGGGTAATGGACGAGAATGTCAATTGCTTCGGTAACTCAAACTTAGCGGGCCCTTCCTCGGCAAGGCTTGACGGATCCACCGTCACTTTGCGCGGTACTTTTAAGATAGACTGCACGCTCCATATCAAAGCACACCAGCAGCGCTATCGATATTGATGTAAAGTGAAATAAAAACCAAAAGTAGGGGCCATTTCAATTTACAAGACCAAGGTATATTACAAGACTATTTCAATTTGTGAATCGATTAAGCCTTATGTCGTAAATTGTTTTTGAAATAGGGAAACACTTAGGCTTACTTTTTATCAGTATCAGTGAACCGAAAATTAGGTAGTAGGCTTGGTAGTAGGTATAATAAAAAACACATCAATAAAAATAAGAAATTTCCAAAATAACATTTGAGGGTGAGATTTTGGGCATCTTTTTTTTTTTTTTTTTTTTTTTTTTTTTTTTTTTATAGTGGCCCTAACTTACGTTACCGGCCTCGCGAGGAGGGCGGCGACCTAACTACGCCGCGCAAAACAAACCGGCCGTCCTAACTAAGACCGGTGGCCACTTTTACAGCAAGACAACATGGGAAAACCCATATCCATGTACTATGCCATGAATATGGGAAAAAACCCATGAATTTACGTTAAGACACATAAATGACAGTGAAACTTACCGGTAAATTGATGTTTGTGAAGGGAGGGAAGGAGGAAGTTTGTGAATGGTAAGGTTACGAGAGTTTGATGACAGGAATGGTTTGAAGAGTGGGGGATATGTCGCTGGGAGGGATGGGGTTTGTGAATGTTTAAGCGTCACGATGAAAGGAATGGTTTGGAGGATGGGGAATCTGTCGCTGCTGCAGTTGGCGGCCGACGGTTGTCTGTGGTCGTTCAACCCGGCCGCCGCCGCTGTTCAGCGGCCGGGGTCCGCTGGTGTAGCTCGCTGGGCCGCTGAGCCTCTAAGCCTGCTCCAGCGGCAGGAGAAAACCCGTCTGCCACCGAAGCTCTGTGTTTCGGCACCAGCGAAAAACCCGACCCATCCCGTATCACAAGTCAGCCTGGTGGTAGCGAAACGGGCGCCTGCTAACAGTCAAGGCCGTTAAAGTAGCTCTGAGTAGGGTGATGTTAGGACGAAATCAAGTACCAGGTTTGTCAATGTTGTGTCGTCCCCGAGAAGCGTCGGGAGGTCGTTTTTAAGGTGTTGTACCGCAAGATAGTTAGTGATGTGTCTTCGTTCGTGATGCAATGCCGTGCATGCGATCAAAATGTGCTCTACGGAGATGCGTGTGTCGCAGGTGTGGCAAATCGGAGGGCCCGTCCTATCAAAAAGGTGGCCATGGGTGAGGCGAGTATGACCACACCTCAATCTGGCCAGGGTCACCTCGCGTATCCTGTCTGGTTGGTTACATGTGACCCATGTTCTAAGTTCTCGTTTGATCGCATACATATGTGCAGCATGATGTTGGTCCCATTTGCGTTGAAGGTACTCGGCGAATTTGATTTTTATCATATGAATAGCGTCCCCTTGGGCCATAGGTTCCACAACTGGATCAGGTCGCATTGCAGCCTCCTTTGCGAGGACATCCGCACGTTCATTTCCTGCAATACCGTAATGACCTGGAACCCAAAGAAGGGTCACATGCTGGCCCTCATTGAGATCTGATGTGATCCTGAGAATATTGTAGATACCGTGGTGGGTAACATTATCGGTCCTTTCCAGTGCTTGAAGAGCGGATTTCGAATCAGTACAGATGGTTGCCCGATCAATCTTTTCTGCCTTGATGTGCTCCATAACTTTTTCGATTGCGTGAACTTCGGCACTAAAGACTGTCGTAAATTCTTGAAGCCGGGTCCCAAACCTAAGCCCAGGGCCGACGGCTGCTGAACCTATCTGATTTTCGTGACATGAGCCATCTGTGAAGAAAAAAGCAGAGTCGCAGTTGAGCTCTACATACTCCTGGAAGAGCATTTGAGCTTCCACCGGAGGTATACTGGTCTTCTTATAATCAAAAAGAAATTCAATGGATAGGTCTTTGAGGAGCCAAAATGGAATCATAGGAGGATTTAGAGTAACTTCAGTGCGCCTAATGTTTAGCAGTTGATGAGCTTGCTCAAGGCACCCGGGTAGAAAGCACGATCTACGCAGTGGGCGTCGGGTTCTTGGTTTCCTCGCCTCCATTGCTGGTACCGCAATGTGATTTCGAACACTTTTTGCTCTGTAGTAATAGCGGAGGAAAAGAAAGACGCGTCGGTCATCAAGTGCTGGAATGCCGGTATCTGCACGAAGCGCAAGAACTGGCGATGTGCGAAAAGCCCCAGTTAGAAGTCTCAAGCACGTTGATTGAACGGCTTCTAGACGTTTGCATAAACTGGGCGACAGTGTGCTAAACAGATAACAATTGTACTCAATCGTAGATCTGATTAGCCCAATATACAACATTTGCAATGTTTTCCTGTCCGCACCCCAAGAAAACCCACATATGCATCTTAGGACATTGATTCGTTTAATACAACGTGCTCTTAGGTGCTCAACGTGTTGACGGAAGGTTAGATTAGTATCCAAAATGATCCCTAGAAATTTGTGTGACGTGGAAAAAGGTATTTTAATCCCATCGATGTGTGGGGATCTTTCAAGCGATGGACGGGGTCCACGTTTGAAGACCATCATGACTGATTTTGGTGCTGACAAAAAGAATCCCCATTTTGTGCACCATTTAACGCAGTGATCAACCACTGTTTGCAATATAGAATAAGCCTGTTTGTAGTTTTTGTGGGATACCCATATTGCTATATCATCAGCAAAAAGCGAATAGCGGACAGAAAATGTTAGAACACGTGGCAGGAGTAGGAGCATATCGTTCAGGGCAATCAAGAACAGCGTAGGTGACAGCACGCTGCCTTGAGGGACGCCATGTTCCATTACAAAGTCGTCAGAAAGTGTCGCTTGGCAACGAACTTTGAAAGTTCGGGGTTTTAGGAAATTTTGAAGAAACGCAGCCAAATGGCCTCTGATTCCGATTGAGTGCAGCTTATAAATTATCGTCGAACTGTGTACCTTGTTGAAGGCTGACATTAGATCTAGGAAAATAGCAACAGTCGGTCGCCTATGTTCCCAGTTTACCTGGATGTCCGAGATAAGGCGAATGATATTGTCTGCCGTACTACGATTTTTCTGAAAACCGCTTTGACATATATCAATGCAATGGTTGCTCTCAAGGTAAAATCGCAGGCGCCTGTTTACCATTCTTTCGAAAATCTTGGAGACACAATTGGTTAGTGAGATTGGGCGATACGAATTTGCGTCGTGCTGGTCTTTGCCGGGTTTGAGGATAGGTATGATTATACTTTTAAGCCATTCATCCGGGAAGTTGTCCTCAGTCCATAGTTTGTTGAATGCTATCAGTAGTGTGGAAAGGTTAAGTTCGTTCAATTTTGTGAAAAAAGAATATGGAATGGAGTCTGGTCCTACCGAAGTTTTAGTGCTTGCCTTTGCTAGGGATAGTTTAAGTTCTCTTAGGGTAAAAGGAGCATTGTATGGTTCAGAGTTTGCAGAAGAAAAATCAAGATTTACTGTTCTATTAACGAGAGCTCGATGCACGCTCAAGGAGTAAATATCTGTAGACGATGTGTTGGCAAAGTGTTGGGCAAATATATTTGTGACGGTAACTGGGTCAGTTACGAATATATTGTTTGAAAGCAATTGCGGAAAGGCACCTAAATTAGTTCGTCGTGAGGCGAAAGCACGAACATGACTCCAGAGTTCGCTGAGCGGGGTAAAACGATTACATTTAGCGGCATAGTTTTGCCATGCCGCCTTCTTTTCTTTGTATATAGTTTCCGCACATTCTTTACGGGCAGCGGTATACAGTTGGGCATGTCTGGGACATATGCATCTCTGGAAGTTTCTGAAGGCTCTTTTTCTTATTGCTTTGGCTCTTTGGCATTTCCAGTTCCACCAGACAAGATTTTTAGATTCATTTGCAGTTCCAATCTTAATAGTTTTTTCTTTTAGCGTTTCACTGGCCGATTTCTTCATAGCCCCCATAAAATTGGAAATGGTCTGAGACAGGCCGTAGGGAGCATGTCTGTTGACCTTTGCGTTAAAGCCCGACCAATCCGCGTTATTTGTTTGCCATACCTTCAGTGTCGGTGCTGGTGACAGCGTGGTTGCACTGGTAAGCATGATGTGAATTGGATAATGGTCTGAAAACAGCGGATCCGATGTTACGGTCCATCTAAAGAGCGGTGCGATCCTCGGGGAAGAAATTGACAAGTCAATTGCAGAGGTTGTGTGGTAGCTACTACTGACAAACGTTGGGTTGCCGTCGTTCATAGCTACAAGGGACTGGCGGTTTAGTGCAGCTTCAATTATCCTGCCTCTCGGCGATAAGTGTCGGCTGCCCCATAGTGGACTATGACCATTGAAATCGCCGAGCAGAAGGCAATTTTCTGGCATTTGCTCTAGAAGGTCATTCAGATTTTGCTGGTTTACAACAGTTGCATTTGGCGGCAAATACACTGAAACAACCAACAACTCGCGGTTTAGTAGTGAAACAGTAGCTGCTACAACATTTAGCGGGGAAGCTATGTTTGTTTTCCGTTGTGACACTGAGTTTGCTACATAAAGAGCTACGCCACCCTGTCTATTTGCTAGATTTATGTCCTGTCTGTACAAAGTATATCCAGCCACATTGTAATTGTAATGATCTGTGCTTTTAAAATGAGTTTCCTGAATCGCCGCTAGAAGAGGAGCTTCCTTTTGTATATACTGTTTAAATTCAGACAAATGGGATAGAAGTCCTCCTACATTCCATTGAAGCAAAAAATCCATTGCAGCAGCTATCTAGTTTGTTTGGCGCGCTATTCTGGGATGAAGGATCGTCTGGTCACGACCTGGGTACGAAGGCCCACATTTTTCCTCTCCTTTGTTGAGCGTGCTCGGAGGCGAGTTTTGGGGCCTTCTGCATGGAGGGTGAGCTGAGTGTCGGAATCGCTGTCATCAATGACTGATGGCGATCGCAGGACGGAAGACACGGCGACCATTTTGGGGGTCTCCTCGTCCTCGCTCGTCGTATTGGCATCATAGCATGTGTCGTCGTCGGAATCTGTAGCCCTTGTCCGGTGGAGTGGTGTAACTACGGAGACGCCAGTTGGGTTGCTGGGGGACATTTCACAGGTGCCTGGTGTTTGGGCCTGGTGTCGTGTCCCACCACTTTTGTGCGGGCCTGTTTCTCGCTGATCAACCACGGTGGGAGAGTCAGGGTGGACTGTCTTGGGTGTCGGTATCGACCGGGCGCAGCCTACATCGATAGACCGAGCGAGTTCCGGCGTCGCGGCCGTGCGCTTCCGAGCATGGGTGCTTGGGTGGTCTGGCGGGCTCGTGTCTTTGCGGGCTGGTGGCGTCAGCTTTGCGTGACGTGCGACATGGGGCAGATCCCGAGGGGGTGGGAGCTCTGGCCAGTCCTGTGGGCGGTTTGCAGCCTGGGATATCTGAGCCTGTGTTTGTCCCACATGGCGCGGGACTCCCTCGTGGTGGGAGGTGCTGGGCTGGGTCATGGGGGGTGACCCACCGTGGGTGCCAGCCACGTGTCCAGATCTGCGTTGTGTGGCCTCGCGGAGCTCCTGCACCTTTGCAACCCACACGGGACAGTTCTTGTCAGTCACTGGGTGCGGTCCATTGCATGCAGCACAGTGGGGAGGGGCGACACACCCTGTAGACGGATGCTCCTCTGAGCAACGTTTGCATATTTCAGCACGAGACCTACATGTGCCTTGTCCGTGTCCATAACGCTGGCACTTGCCACAGCGCCGAGGCAGCTGGTGAGATGGCCTGACTTCATAGCGCATGTACACTGCATAAAGGTGTTCAGGCAGCTGTGTGGCCGAAAACCTCACCTTGAGCAGTGGGTTCGGTCTGGAATTTTTTGAAGGGAGGCGTGTGACACTTGTGACACCCTGGTCACGGCTTTCCTCAAGTATGGTTTGAGGAGACTCCATTGAGAGCTCAGGGGCATAGACCATCCCCTCCACCTGGTTTAGGCGGTCTGCTGGAATCACAGAGATGTCCTCCCCCCTGAATGACCTCCAGGCTAGCAGAGCCTCGGTCTGGTACATGTCCCTCGTTTTGACAAGCAGAGAGCCGCTTCGAAGTGCAGAAACCTTAGCAGCTGCATAATGGATCACGTCCAGGAGCTCATCTCGAATTTTGTAAGGGCTGAAGTTCCGAAAGCTTTGGTTTTTTTCCTTAAATCTCACGAGGAGGTAAGCAGGTCCAGTGGGAAGGAACTGACCTTCGTCAGTAGCGGTAACCGCCTTGGAGAACATGGCTGGCATAGCTGGAGAGAACGACACCAAAAAGCGAGATAATCTTGTGAGGAAATTACAAGTCTTGCCAAAGAGTAGTCAACAAAAAATGAAGACGTGAAGAGTGCTTGCTCCCATGCAAAAATGCTCTTCGCCTTGGGCTTATGTGACGGATATTTCAAAATGTAATCAATAAAAAATATATTTTTGAGAACAATAAGAATAATAATTTTATTACCAAGAAAATAAAGAATAAAGTTAAGTTTTACTTCCTTTTAAAATGCAAAAATACCTACTGCAATATTATTTTACGTCATTTATTATTACGTAGTTCAGCGTGAAGAAAGATAAACAGCATACCTATTTGTATGCATTTACCGCAGTCCCTCCGGGCACACAGGAAAGCACTGAACAGCTGTCAAGTACATTGAAAGAGGCATGTAATCATGGAGCATCCCACCTGATGATTGCGGGAGATTTTAACCTCCCCCAAATTAACTGGGAAAGCGAGGTGTCCACAGCCCCTGAGACTCATCCTTCTCATGCTGTCATTGAATGCATTCACGACTGCTTTCTTTACCAACATGTTCGAGAGGCGACACGATACCGAGTGGGTGAAGCTCCAAGCACTTTAGATCTTATACTAACCAATGAAGAGGGCATGGTAAGAAATGTTGAATACCATCCCTGCCTGGGAAACAGTGATCATGTAGTTCTTCGTTTTTCACTGGTATGCTACTCAGCAGCCAAAATTCTTCCCAAGGACCAGAGGTGCCGTGTGGACTTCAATCAACTGGCTTCAACCCTAGCCTCCATCGATTGGGGCCATATGACTTCCATGGACTTGACTGACGCTTACTCCTTCTTCAAGGGCAAATGGGATTGGGCTGTCAAACTGTGCACCCGAGCAGTGCCAACTGCCCTCAGGTCCAGAAACCTGTACATGGACAGGCAAGCCATCCAGCTGAAGAAAAAGAAGTCCCAGCTATGGAAGATCTACATAAGGTCTAAAGATGTGATCGATTTTGCCAGGTACGCAACGTGTCGCAACAGGCTTAGAACTCTAACGAGAAACCTTCGTAGGAGCTTCGAAAAACAACTAGCATCAAGGATAAAGGACGATCCAAAAGCTTTCTGGAGGTACACGTCATCAAGATTGAAAACAAGATGTGGAGTTGGTGACCTCAGGGACGAAAGGGGCGAAGTCGCTACATCAAATCATGAAAAAGCCTGTATATTGAACAGGTTCTTTGCCAGTAACTTCACAGAGGAAGGCAGCGATGATCTACCAGTACTGACAGTCGAGCCGGTTTGTCAACCAGCTGATGACATTGAGATCACGCCCGCGACTGTTGCTGAGAAGCTCTCCTCGTTGAAGACAACCAGTGCCCCAGGACCGGACTCCATTCATCCTAGAGCCTTGCGAGATTCTGCAAACGGCCTTGCTCTCCCGCTGTGCACTCTGTTCAGGAAGTCGCTGGACTCCGGAATCCTTCCTCCGGACTGGAAGACTGGGAATGTGATCCCGATCCACAAGAAGGGAGACAAACGGTCCCCGGGAAACTACCGGCCGGTGAGCCTCACCTCTGTCCCCTCCAAGATACTTGAGTCCATGGTGAGAGACCGACTGATCTCGCACCTGACTGACAATGACCTGCTGCACCCAGCTCAATATGGGTTTCTGCCGAAGCGGTCTTGTACTTCTCAGCTCTTGGAAGTTCTGGACGACTGGAGCGCAGCTATTGAGGATGGTAAACCAGTCGACGTATGCTACCTCGATTTTGCAAAAGCCTTCGACTCGGTCCCTCATAAGCGCCTCCTCGGGAAACTGAAGGCATATGGCATCTCCGGCAAACTCCTACGGTGGATAGGATCATTCTTGACTGGCCGCTTGCAGAGGGTGCAGGTCCAGGGAGACGCATCAGACTGGTCCCCCGTTACAAGCGGAATCCCTCAAGGATCTGTCTTGGGTCCTACCTTGTTTATTATCTATGTTAACGACCTACCCGAATGTGTAACGAACTGCGTTCGGATGTTCGCCGATGACACCAAGATGTACTGCCGCGTTCCTACTGCGCTTTCCATGCCAACTCTCCAGCAGGACCTTGACGCCCTCCTTCGCTGGTCGGAAACGTGGCTCCTCCGCTTCAACGCAAGTAAATGCAAGATTATGCACATTGGGACCAGAAACCCTCGCATGCACTACAGCCTCGGAGACAGTGCCATCAGCGAGGCGACCGTAGAGAAGGACCTCGGCGTCATCATAGATCACCAACTCAAGTTTCATGAGCAGACAGCGGCTGCAGTGTCGAAGGCCTCTCAGGTGTTGTCGGTCATCAGGCGGTCATTTGCGAACCTGGACTCAAACACCCTCCCATTACTATTCAAGACACTGGTGAGACCGCTGTTGGAGTATGGGAACCTCGTATGGGGACCGTTTAGTAAGCTGGACCAGAAGAAGGTTGAGCGGGTGCAACGAAGAGCTACTCGCCTGGTACAAACTGTCCGACACCTGTCGTATCCAGAGAGGTTGCGCGCACTGAAGCTCCCTTCGCTATACTACAGACGTCAACGGGGTGATATGATAGCCGTCTATCAGATTCTGCATGGTGGCATGGCGGTCCCCACCGAGAAGCTGCTCACCAGATCAACTTCAGGAAGAACAAGAGGCCATGAGTGGAAACTAGCGAAACCGCGGGCCACGACGTTCATCCGAAGACACTCTTTTAGTACACGTGTTATTAACCCATGGAATGCTCTCCCGCAAGCGGTCGTATCAGCTACGTCAGTCAACCAATTCAAGACCAGGCTGGATGCCCACTGGGCTGACATCATGCAAAGCCTTCCCACCTGAACCCGATCTTACCCAACCTGAGGCTGACTGTCGATAAGCACTGGGAGCTCGCTGAGACCGGGCCCCACAGGCCAAATTGGCCTCCCACAACCCGTATACCGTAAGGTAAGGTAAGGTAAGGTAACTGATGCGCCATATTAGCGATCATTTTAATCGGCGCGGGAGTTCCAGTGGTCTCACTCTCAAGTCGAGTCCGCCTTCGTTATTTTTGTGATTTTTCCGAAAGAGTCTGCCAGAAGTCCTTTGTTCGAATATTTTTTTACTACCACATAGGACTGAGGGATAGTTTGGGCTGCAATTCTAATTCTTATTTGGTTGGAAAGAAAAATAATCACATTTTTCACAAATCAGCTCTTGGCTGTCTTCCCTTTCCCTAAATATGAATATATGAATTTACACATTTAATTGCCCTTCATTGATTGCAATTGTACTTGTAGTGTACCTACTGAGCAACTGCAGTAAATTCTCACGCTGTTTTCTTGATTTTTTTTTACTTCAGGTAAATTATAGTCATCATGAAGACTGCAATGCAACAACAACAGCAAAAGCCCAAACAGCTCACACTGTTCCAAGCTGGATTCAAGAAGGATGAGATTTCCCGCTGGGGCGTACCCATCGGACCTGGTCCAAGTCACTCTGCACCTCCACCACCTCAACCTGGGCCCAGCTGTTCGGTAGCAG